GTGAAACCCTCTTATAGTGCTGAAGCAACGGGGATGTCAGGAGGGGAGATGCTGACCACGCACAAAAGATTACTACTACTGTTACTACTACTGCATCAGCTCTAGAATATCAAGTGTGGCTTTCTGGTGGCGACTACTGGATGGCATATGTTCTGCATCAGAAACTAGAGCTGATGTCTCTCCAATGCAGTTTTCTAAATTGGGAAATTGGGACCCCAAATAACAAAACCAAATCTAAAGTTGACCAAAAACTGATTTGTAATCCTTTTTGGTACTAATGTTGAAGAGTGGTCCCTGGTCAAAGAAAAGGTTGGGAACCGCTGAAGTACAGTAATTAATCTTGTACAGAGCCGGCATAGTATAGTAGTTTTGAGTGTTGGATTATGACACTTAAGATGAGGGTTTGTATCCCTGCTTGGCCATGAAGTGGAGCCCCCGGTGGCGCAGTGGGTTAAAGCACTGAGCTGCTGAACTTACTTGACCGAAAGATCGCAGGTTCGAATCCAGGGAGCGGTGTGAACTCCCGCTATTAGCCCCATCTTCTGCCAGCCTAGCAGTTCGAAAACATGCAAATGTGAGTGAATCAATACGTACTGCTCTGGCGGGAAGGTAACAGCGCTCCATGAAGTCATGCTGTCCACATGACCTTGGAGGTGTCAATGGACAATGCTGGCTCTTCAGTTTAGAAACCCCCGGTGGCGCAGTGGGTTAAACCCCTGTGCCGGCAGGACTGAAGACCGACAGGTCGCAGGTTCGAATCCGGGGAGAGGTGGATGAGCTCCCTCTATCAGCTCCAGCTCCTCATGCGGGGACATGAGAGAAGCCTCCCACAAGGATGATAAAAACATCAATTCATCCAGGCGTCCACTGGGCAACGTCCTTGCAGACAGCCAATTCTCTCATACCAGAAGCGACTTGCAGTTTCTCAAGTCGCTCCTGACACGACAAAAAAAAAGTTTAGAAATGGAGATGAGCACCAACCCCCAGAGTCAAACATGACTGGACTTAATGTCAGGGGAACACCTTTACCTTATATTGGTCACGTAACCCATTGGGTGACCTTGGGCAAGCCACAAATTCTCAGCCTCAAAGGAAGGCGGTGACAAAACTCCTTTGGAACAAATGCTGGCAGGAAAACCCTGTGATAAGGTCACCATATCTCAGAAAGGCATGCAGCAACAACAATTTTACTATTTCAGAGAATAGTAAGGAGGAGGGATGTCAGCAAAGAGCAAGGCCAATGTCCTCCCTGGTTCTGTCCTAGAATCAACACGACTTTGGTATAGCGGGAGGGACTTTTGTTATAACGAGTTGTTGTGCTCTCCTTTTCCATAAGCCTCTTGTAATGTCTTCGATACCAACAGGTTCTCATTCCAATTCTAAGCATTGTTAATTAAAATTATAGAAGTTCTGCGCCAAATGCATAAGTTTCGAGTCCAAGCAGTCTGACATAGGGTTCTCTTATGATAATACACACAGGGATATTGTGACCTGGAATTGGTATGTTACAGGGATCCTGGTACATTGCTAGCTACATCTTCAAACACATCCTGACATAGTACTAAAGCCAGCTATGCTTTTCCTATTACTTTCTCTGGCTTTAATTGAGGAAACTCTGTGTGTGATATCTGTCCCTTGTGGGTGATGACTGAACTCACAGCTAATGAGTTTGTGAAACAGAATCACCCTTGGGTTGCTGTGAGTTTTCTGGCTATGTTCCAGTAACATTATCTCCTGACATTTCACCCACATCTATGGCAGGCATCCTCAGAGGTTGTGAGGTCTGTTGGAAACTACACAAGTGGGGTTTATATATCTGAAATGTCCAGGCCGGAAGAAAGAACTCTTGTCTGTTGGGGGCAAGTGTGAATGTTGTCACTGGCTGTATTTATTTGCATTGAATATCCATGCAGCTTCAAAGCCTGGCTATTTCCTTCCTGGGGAATCCTTGATTGGGAGGTGTTAGCTGGCCCTGATTGGTTCTCTCAAATCCCCCTGCTTTTGAATTGTTGTTCTTTATTTACTGTCCTGATTTTAGAATTTTTCAGTACTGTTCATTTTAATGGTTTCCTCCTTTCTTTTGAAATTGTCCACATGCTTGTTGATTTCAATGGCTTCTCTGTGTAGTGTGAGGACCCTTTCACATAGCCTTATATCCCAGAATATCAAGGCAGAAAATCCCACATTATTTGAATGAGGATTCAGATAACCCAGTTCAAAGCAGATATTGTGCCTTGATATTCTGGGATATAGGGGTGTGTGGAAGGGCCCTGACATGGTGGTTGTTAGAGTAGTCCAGGTGCTTTCAAATAATACGTTGTGTCCAGGTTGGTTCATCGGGTGTTCCACTATGGCTGACTTCTCTGGTTGAATTAGTCTGCAGTGCCTTTCATCTTCCTTGATTCGTGTTCGGGCAAGGCTACGTTTGGTGATCATTGAAATCTACAAGCATGTGGACAATTTCAACTTTCAATTTCATTTGCAAGTTACTACAAGTTTTGTTACTCTAATGCAGGGGTCCTCAAACTTTTTAAACAGAGGGCCAGGTCACAGTCCCTCAAACTGTTGGAAGGCCAGATTATAATTTGAAAAAGAAAACATGAATCAATTCCTATGCACACTGCACATATCTTATTTGCAGTGCAAAAAAACACGTAAAAACAATACAGTAATTAAAATGAAGAAGATTTTAACAAATATAAACTTATTCGTATTTCAATGGGAAGTGTGGGCCTGCTTTTGATGAGATAGGGTTGTTGTTGTTGTTGTTGTGTGCTTTCAAGTCATTTCAGACTTAGGTTGACCCTGAGCAAGGGCCAGGTAAATGACCTTGGAGGGCCGTATCTGGCCCCCGGGCCTTAGTTTGAGGACCTCTGTTCTAATGCAACATTTGGCACAGCTCTGACCAATTTAGCCAGACTTCCCTCTGATACCTATAACACAGATGTCTAATGGGGCCCCTAATACTAGTCTTATATGTACATAGTTAATGTTGAGCCTGAGACACAATTGTTGCATAGACATTTCTTAGTTACTCTGTTTTCCTCGGTGGTAGTAAACTGTAAGTGGTATCATATTTTCTGAGTTTATTTCTCATTTCTCTCTCCATGGTTGGCTCTGAATTCTTTGTTATATGCATAGGACCACTTATATGCTCAGAGTACAGTACATAACAATGGGTACAGAAACAGCACATGAATACAGTTCCGTTAAAGGGTGTGCTAACTTACCTATCAGTATGAACAAACCTGCTTTATCATTGGGCTAGGCCAGTGGTTCCCAATCTGTTTTTGACCAGGGACCACTCTCCAATATTAGTACCAAAAGAGTTATGAACCGGTTTTTGGTCAACTTTAGATTTGGTTTGGTTATTTGGGGTGCTGATTCAGAAAATTGCATTGGATAGACCACATCTGCTCCAGTTTCTGATACAGAACATATGCCATCCAGTAGTCACCATCTGCTCATCCACAGAAAACTATATTTAATAAACCTTGGCCATATAAGAGGGTTTTGCGAGACCAGTTGCTCTCGATGCAACAATGTAGTAATGGTGAGGCCGCAGACCATATTTCGACACCAAGAAACAAGTATTGGTCACAAATAAAAAATATATTGAGCCTCCCCATCCACAATCCAGTCAAAATTAGGTTGTTTAGGAAAGTTGCCCACAATTGTGTTTTACTTATCTTGCTTATGTCATTCCCCCAGTCACATGAATTGTTATGCTAAGGAAACATGTAGCACCTTAGGGACTGGGCCCCCAGTTTAGCTACATTTAACTGGATTATATGAGTCTACACTGCCATATGATGCAGTTCAATGCAGAATACATATACGACAAACATTCAGTGCTGTTATACAAAGACAAGACATGCAACTGTACATAGATAGAGGTATATATAGGCTTCCCCCCCCCCCCCATCTTTGGCGTCTCGGATGCTGTGCTCGGTTCTGGGCACGGGGATGGGTGTGTGTGCTGTCGCACGATCTTCTCCGTCAAAGAGCTTTTGTTTGTGAATTGCCTTCTTTTGATCAAATTGCCCACATTTTCTGGCATTTCCTTATGGGTGCCTAAATACCTCCCTGTTTTTAAAGCAATACCTATTTACTCACAATTGCTGTTTTCGATCTGCTAGGTTGGCAGGAGCTGGGCTGAAGGCCAGGAGCTCTCTCTGACCTGGGCTTCGAACTGCCAACCTTCTGATTAGCAAGATTTATTCCATCTGGTGGTTAACCTACTATTTTATTTATTTATTGTGTCAGGAGCAGACCAAATAGTTGCATTGCATTTTTTAACAAACAAACAAACAGAACACAAAGTTAATAAGCTTGGTAGTTGATTAAATGTCCTTTGACCAGTATCTGGCCACTTGGAGTGCCTCTGATGTTGCTGCAAGAATGTCCTCCACTGTGTATGTAGCAGGTTGCATTGCAGCAGGTGGTCTGTAGTTTGCTCTTCTCCACACTTGCATATTGTGGATTCCACTTTGTAGCCCCATTTCTTAAGGTTGGCTCTGCATCTCGTGGTGCCAGAGCGCAGTCCGTTCAGAGCCTTCCAAGTCACCCAGTTTTCTGTGTGCCCAGGGGGGAGTCTCTCATTTGGTATCAGCTATTGATTGAGGTTCTGAGTTTGAGCCTGCCACTTTTGGACTCTCGGTTGCCGAGGTGTTCTAGCAGGTTAACCTACTGTGCTAAAGCCTGGCCCTTTTTCATAGTTTTCTATGGACAAGCAGATAAAGACTGGCATATGGCGTCAGTTATCTATTTCAAAAGCTACAGCTGAAACAGGGAAACTGGCACAATTTTTGGAATCAGCCGGTCAACTATACCCAGAAACAGGTCTAACATTTGAGGCATCAAAATGTGTGTTGGCAAATGTAATTAATAAGGTGAAGAGCAATGAGTATAATGACTTTAAGTGTTGCCTCTGTTTTGTTGCACTGACAGTAGTGACTTATTTTTTTCAGTCATGAAATAACATTGTTTTACAGTATTTGATGGAGACAACTACCAGTTGCAAGACCCCCTATGCCAGAGTGACTCCTAGGAAGCGTACATACCTGCAAAAACCAGAACCTCAGGTGCGGAAAAAGCGCTCATCTCAGCCACGTCTGAGAACTACCTTGGCAGGGCTTTTCAACAACCTACGAGAAAGAATATATTCCCCACAAGACAATTCTGCATCAGAGGTATAGAAATAATTCTGCCCTAGATGCGAAACAGAGCTAGACTTCCTAAAACATTTACATATTCCACTTATAATGATTTATGGGCCTTAAATTTTCTCATATGTAATTATACTGAGCTGTTTATCTCAGTACAAATGTTTCTTTTGGAATAAAATTGGCAGGGAACATTGCCTGTCAGATTTATGGATGTCTCATTTATGACTTGTTCTAGCTTTGCCTGAAGATTTTGAATATGGCTGGAATCATGATCGTGGTTAAAAACGCATAGTTGCCAATTCATATTCACAACCCCTATATATTCAGTTGCATAAGGAATATGTAGGGATCGTAAAATGTATCCCAATCCTGACTTGAAGCCACCTGAGACCCCTTCTACACTGCCATATAAAATCCAGATTATTTGCTTTGAACTGGATTATATGGCAGTGTAGACTCATATAATCCAGTTCGAAGCAGATAATGTGGATTATCTGTTTTGATAATCTGGATTATATGGCAGTGTAGAAAGGACCTAAGTCTGTTCTCCTATAAAATCGGGATGCAGCAGACTGATATTTCCAACCTTCCCATGAGTGATCTCTCGCACTAGAAAAAAATACGTTGATTCTTGTTTCTGACTGTTTGCATCTGAGATTATTTGAGGGATAGTGTGTCCTAACAGGTGGGAGAACAGACCCTTACCACTCATAGCAGCTGCTACTACTTGATAATGCTGAAATAGCAATGAAATGGGGGAATTCAGTAGCTGCTTTTGTTTACTTAACAAAAGCAGTGTTTTGTTATGTATACTTAAGTAAATGTATATTATTGTTGTTTTAAATTGTTATTTGATTATGTTTTTTACTTATTAAACTTATTATTAATGTATTTGGATTGTTGTTTTCATGATTTTAATATTTTGTAAGCTGCTTTGGGTCCCGCGAGGGAGAAGAGCGGGATATAACTAAGATTACCTCTGGCATCTTTACTGGTTGCAGGTGTTTCTTTCCAAACTTGGACTTCAAAGACAGGTCCAAAGGGTCAATGTATGGAGGATCATGCAACGTAGCAATATTTGAAAAAAAAAGTTCCTGATTTAAACATGTTATTTCCTGCTTAATTGTTCAGTACTTCCTTTGAAAGTAGTTATAATCTAGAAACGTTGGTTTTTATTTTTGGCTGCCACAAACTATGTTGAATTGATTGAGACTCTATGAGAAAGTCATTGAAAAACTAGCAAAATGTGCTTAAGGATGTCCCGCAAAAACAAAGTTTTTGCAGTTTAATAAACCTTTTCTATGTTTTATGATAGAACCAATTAGAAAATGACATGCATAATCCAGGAACAAAAATCGTGTTACATAGTGTAAGTTGTTGGCAAATAGAATTTGAGATATTTGCTTACTTTTCAGCAGTTTCAGCCAGCTTGAGATAGCTGTAATTCATAGCTTTTTGACATTTAAACCAATTTAAACTTGTAGTGTGGATATATGCTGTCTGTAGCTGTCATATAGTACTCTATTCATAACAGTGAGTTCTTGCCTGAGATTGCTTTTTAAAGAGTACTTCTACTTTTTCTGATCAGCATGCAAAAAGTTGAACTTGGATGCTGCTTGCATGTGATAGGTTGGCCGTGTTCATAATAGATGGCACAAGATGGAAATTTTATCCCTCTGTACTGTCACATGACTGTTCCTAAACTTGTATGAGGCACATGATTACAGTACATAAATCCATTTTTGTTTGTTAATGTAGAAAGAACAAAGAGAAAGTCAAAGTAATTTTTGAACCAGAATATAAAGCAGTCTTTTTTCTTGACTAGACAAAAATGTCATTTACTTTATCTCCCTTTTGTTGATTTCTTCCTGTTCTTTTCATAGTCTGATGCAGCTAAAATACAAGATTGACCAGGAAATATAAATTGTATTGAAATGGTAATCAGCAGAGAACATGCATAGATTAGCTCTGTTTTCTGTTTTCTTACTTAGTGCCAGATTTTATGTAAAGCTAAGAATTATATCCAGGAACTGGAGCAAACCTTGGATAACTTGCTGAGGATGAAAGGTACAGTGTGCACAATGTTAGCTCTAACATGTTTTCCTGTTCTTCCTTTGTATCTGGTAAAAATTAAGCAGATGTCCAGGCTAAGGTGGAATCAGTGTCAAACTGGAATATATGTATGGTATCTTAAAGTAAAATGAGACAATATTTCAGCAAACACATTGTCCTAAAGCAGGGGTCCTCAAACTAAGGCCCGGGGGCTGAATATGGCCCTCCAAGGTCATTTACCCGGCCCTCACTCAGGGTCAACCTAAGTCTGAAACGACTTGAAAGCGCAGAACAACAACAATCCTATCTCATCAGCCAAAAGCAGGCCCACACTTCCCATTGAAATACTAAGTGTTTTCTGAACTACAAATAAGATATGTGCAGTGTGCATAGGAATTCATTCATGTTTTTTTCAAATTATAATCCAGCCCTCCAACAGTTTGAGTGACTGTGACCTGGCCCTCTGTTTAAAAAGTTTGAGGACCCCTGTCCTAAAGTAATATGGACCAACAGTAGCATTTCCAAGGGTAGACAGGTGGAAGGTGGGACTCTTAATCCCTTTCATGCCAATTTTTATTGTTTTTGCTTCTCCAGATCAAGCTGCTTTCCCTTGGACATAAGGTTAAAGCTCCGCTGTAGGAAAATCCCTGTTTACAAAACTGAAATGAATAGCCCCAGGTAGTACCCTGGCCATGAGTTAAGGCCCTGTTTTGCACTTTATCCACTTTCCTGTCCCTATGTGTCTCTGTTGGCCCAGCCCTCTTATAGCTGTGCAGCAGGCCTTGGAAACAAATAGCTCCAGATTTCACTCTGACCATCAGGCAGGACCATGCTTACACTTTACCCATTCCCCAGGCCTTAGTCTACTTCGTTATACTAGCCCAGCCCTCTCGTAGTTGTCAAGGCCCTCTCTGGAATTCTGACCATTGGAAGCTAAACTTGCCCAATGGAAATTAGTACTGAACTAGCTTTTAATTTTAAATTATGAACGATTGTTATATAGCATAATGTCTATGTTTTATAATGATTATTTTGTATGTTTTTTGTGTCGGTACTTGTAATGCTTTACCTATGATGAAAACAGTTCTGAGTCCCCTCGGGGAGAAAGAGCAGTATACAAAAAAACGTTTATTGTTATTATTGCAAAAGTTGTTTACAGAAGAGATCACATAAGGAAAAAGTTAAGCACCTAGCCTCCTGATTGCTAGTCCTTCTCTAAAGTCACTCCCTGTGGCCAATGTTCCTGTTACTCTGGCCAAGGGGTCGCCAAAGACCCATCCGAAAACACAGTATTTTCTGTTGGTCATGGGGGTTCTGTGTGGGACGTTTGGCCAAATTCTATTCTTTGTGGAGTTCAGAATGCTCTTTGATTGTAGGTGAACTATAAATCTCAGAAACTACAACTCGCAAATGTCAAGGTCTAAGCTATTTTCATGAACTGCAGTCAGCTTAGTCTTTCTATCAATTTCCTTCAGAAGACTTATGTGGGTGTGCAATGTCATTTTTTCTGTTTTGTTCCCTTGGCTCTGCTTCAGTCTGCTTTCCTCCAGATCCTTTGGATTACGACTTCTTGATTCCCTAACCATTGACCATATTAGCTGAGGCTGCTGGGAGTTGAGGTTCACAGTATCTGGAAGGCACCACCTTGAGGAAGGCAGAGAGGAATTTAGGCTCTGATGCAGAATATTTATTCTTTTGACACTCATTCTCGCCTTGTATTATCTACTCTCGACAGACACTGGCTCTTCAGAAAATCTCCCTTAAATTGTGGTGCCCAAAATTGGACATAGTATTCCAGGTGTGATCTCACCAGGGCAGAGAGGGTTAGCATGACTTCCTTGGATCTAGACACTAGACTCCTATTCATGCAGGCCAAAATCCCATTGGCATTATTATTATTATTATTATTATTATTATTATTATTATTATTATTCTCTTTCCACAAATCTTCCCATACTCGCTTCACTTTATTGAGGTAAGCCCGATGACGAGCAAGCCTCATAATGTGTCAATTTGTGATCATGGTTCTTTCTACTGGCAATAGAGGTCTTAAATCTGGAGGATGGGAACCCATCAAACATGGAAGAAGTAAAGGAGGAATATGTCAAGACGTACTTCAGCAATCACAGGTAAGACGTTGGAAACCCAAACATGATCGAATCATCCATTTTAAGCATCTCAAAGTGCCTAATAAACACCAGGAGAATCAATTGTGGGTTTGTTTTACAGACAGTTTATCAGTCTGAAAATTTTGTGTGTTTTAACTTGGTTTTAATTACTTATTTTAATAGCACTAGGTTTATATCTCTTTTAATGTTTATTGTCTTTAGGTTTTAAATTGTATATTGTATAGTTTTTTTTACTCCTGTTCACTGTTTTGAGTCTCTTTTAGAGGAAAAAGGCAGCCTATACATAAATATAGTTAGTTAGGCAATCCCTCATAGTGTGAGGATGATGGTCCTCCAAGTGTAGTGTCTCGGCGGGTGAGTCCGTAGGTGGCTGTGGTGCCCTATTCTTGATCTACATGTTCTCCCGCGGTGAGGACATTGGTATCCAGGTGGAAGGCGGATCCCAGGGTTGGCTTGACATGCCTTCCTCTTGGCACGTTTCTCCTTTTCAACCTCCATTCATGCCTCTTTGAATTCTGCAGCACTACTGTTCACAGCTGACCTCCAGTTAGAGTGCTCAAGGGCCAGTGCTTCCTATTTCTCAGTGTCTATGCCACAGTTTTTAAGATTGGCTTAAAGCCCATCTTTAAATCTCGTTTCCTGTCCACCAACATTACATTTCTTGTTCTTGCGTTGGGAGTATAGTAACTGCTTTGGGAGGCAGTGATCGGGCATTCGGACAATGTGGCAGTATATAAATAGCTATAACAATAATAAGAATTAATGTAGAGCCAATTCTTCTTGGGAGGAGAGCAATGACCAATGTCAATGAAATAGCGAAGAGTAGAGACATCATACTGGTAATGAAGGCCACATAGTATTCCATGTAGTAATCTATGGATGTAAGAGCAGGACCAAAAGGAAGGCTGAGTGAAGAAGGATAGACGCTTTTGACCTGTGATATTGAAGGAAAATTCTGGGAGTGCCTTGGACCACGAGAAGATCAAACCAGCCCATACTCCAGGAAATAATGCCCGCAGGCTCACTGGAGGGAAGGATATTAGAGGCAAAGATGAAGTATTTTGGCCACATAATGAGAAGACAGGAAAGCTTAGAGAAGACACTGATGCTGGGGAAAACGTAAGGAAAAAGGAAGAGGGGCCGACCAAGGGCAAGATGGATGGATGGTATCCTTGAAGTGACTGGCTTGACCTTGAAGGAGCTGGGGGTGGTGACGGCCAACAGGGCCCTCTGGTGTGGGTTGATCCATGAGGTCACAAAGAGTTGGAAACCATTGAACGAATAAACAAGTCTTAAAAAACAGGCCATTTAGCACAGTTATCAGTCCCATTCCCAAGCTCCTCTTATCTTTGCCTCTTTCTTTGTTGTTGTTCATTCGTTCAGTCGTCTCCGACTCTTCGTGACCTCATGGACCAGCCCACGCCAGAGCTCCCTGTCAGCCGTCACCACCCCCAGCTCCTTCAAGGTCAGTCCAGTCACTTCAAGGATGCCATCCATCCATCTTGCCCTTGGTCGGCCCCTCTTCCTTTTGCCTTCCACTTTCCCCAGCATAATTGTCTTCTCTAGGCTTTGCTGTCTCCTCATGATGTGGCCAAAGTACTTCAACTTTGTCTCTAGTATCCTTCCCTCCAGTGAGCGGTCGGGCTTTATTTCCTGGAGGATGGACTGGTTGGATCTTCTCGCAGTCCAAGGCACTCTCAGAACTTTCCTCCAACACCACAGCTCAAAAGCATCGATCTTCCTTCGCTCAGCCTTCCCTAAGGTCCAGCTTTCACATCCGTAGGTTACTACAGGGAATACCATGGCTTTGACTAGGCGGATCTTTGTTGCCAGTCTGATGTCTCTACTCTTTACTATTTTATCGAGACTGGACATTGCTCTCCTCCCAAGAAGTAAGCGTCTTCTGATTTCCTGGCCACAGTCTGCATCTGCAGTAATCTTTGCACCTAGAAATACAAAGTCTGTCACGGCCTTCACATTTTCTCCCTCTATTTTCCAGTTGTCAATCATTCTTGTTGCCATAATCTTGGTTTTTTTTTATGTTTAGTTGCAGCCCAGCTTTTGCGCTTTCTTCTTTCACCTTGATTAGAAGGCTCCTCAGCTCCTCCTCGCTTTCGGCCATCAGAGTGGTGTCATCTGCATATCTGAGGTTGTTAATGTTTCTTCCAGCAATTTTCACCTCAGCTTTGCACTCATCAAGCCCCGCACATCGCATGATGTGTTCTGCATATAAGTTTAAAAGGTTGGGTGAGAGTATGCAGCCTTGCCGTACGCTCTTACTGTTGCTACTTGGTCCTTGTACAGATTCCTCAGGAGAGAGATAAGGTGGCTTGGGATGCCCATCCCACTAAGAACTTGCCACAATTTATTATGATCCACACAGTCAAAGGCTTTAGAATAGTCAATGAAGCAGAAGTAGATGTTTTTCTGAACTCCCTGCCTTTCTCCATTATCCAGTGGATATTGGCAATCTGGTCTCTCGTTCCTCTGCCTTTTCTAAACCCAGCTTGAACATCTGGCAACTCTCGCTCCATGTATTGCTGGAGTCTTCCTTGCAGGATCTTGAGCATTACCTTACTGGCATGAGAAATAATGCCTCTTTCTACCGATGAAGAATTATTTTGCATAGTCTTAGGATCCTGGCATATAAAAGAATGGCTCAAAATAAAGTCAGATTATAAAGAATGGCTGAAAATAAAGTCCGTTAGTCCCCAATTATGAACTCATCGCAAATGAGGAAACTTTCATCTTAATTTCTCCTTCTGCTTTCTAGTCTAGAGCCCACTTCAAGTAACACCACGGTGTGGTATGTGATACAGGAAAAGGAGAAAAACTCAGCAGAAGGAGAAATAAATCTAAGACTTACCCAGTCTCCAGTTACCTCTTCTCCTGACCTTATGGAGTTTGAACGGTATGTGAAACAGCATTTTGATTCCCACCTCCATCAGGTAAAGTATTATTGCTATATGCTTTCAAATCAACTCTGACTTAATGGCAACACTGACACAGGATTTTCTTGACAATGTTTATCACAACAAAGTTTGCCATTGTTTTCCTGTAAGACTGAAAACGTATGACTTGCCTGAAGTCACCCATTGGGTTTCTGTGGCTGAGCAAAGAGGAAATATAAGGTGAAATTATTTCTGTTTGGTTGAACCTTCCCCAGGAAAGTCTTGCTTTCCCCAGGAAAGTATCCCGACCTATTTTTGGCCTCTGAAGAGGGACTCAGGGCGACTTCCAACAATATAAAAACACTAATAAAATACACAATTACATAAAATGATAATAAATACGCATTTAAAACAGTTCGCCAAATCTAAAACATCCTCCAGATAAGTCCAAAAAATGCAGTCCATAAAATCTCATCTCCACTAATAAAAACCATTTATTTAGTGAACGTTTGTTCCCACAGCCAAGGTTTAAGTGTCTTGCAAAAAGTCAGGAGGGAGGGGGCAAATCTAACCTCTTTAGGGAGAGAGTTCCACAGCCGAGGGGCCACCACGGAGAGGGCCCTGTCTCTCGTCCCCACCAAACGAGACTGCGATGGTGGCGGGACCGAGAGCAGGGCCTCCGCAAATGATCTTGAAGTTCTTGATGTTTCAAAGGGAGAGACACGTTCAGACAGATAAAGTGGGCCAGAGCCTGGTACTAACTCGTAACAGGCTTTGGCCTACTCACTTTCCTCAGAACAGCACTAGATTTAGCCCACTGACTCTAACAGGCTTCAGCCGAATAACTCTTTTGGTGTTTGACTCACACTTTTGTAATCAAAAATACCTAGTTAATATTTAATATTTCTGTCAATCTTGAGTCATATAAAATCCAGATTATCTGCTTTAAAATGGATTATACAACAGTGTGAATCCAGCCACAGTTGCCTTTACCTTAGTTTTAGAACTTTGAAGATACTGAGATGAGTAGGTACTATTAAAAAGTTCCACGGAATTTGTTCCATTTACCCAACCCAATTTGCAGCTTTTAGTGGGTTGCTATCCACAAGGAGTTGAAAATATTTTCTAATACTTATTAGCATCATTCAAGTGTTCCAGTCAATAGAGCTTTGCAGCTTGAGTGCTGTGGAATGTTCTTATAAAATAAGCCTCAAAAGAGCTGGGGAATAAGTCCTTGGTGAGACAAGCAACAAGGAAGTAGCTAGAGCTTGGGGGAAAAAGAATGATTGTTTTAGACTGCAGAGCCCACAATTCTCTTTGATCGGCCTCAGGGATTCCAGGAGTTGGGGCGTTGTAGCCCCCCCCCCCCAAAAAAAATTTCCAACCTCTGCCAATATTTGGCTTGTTATATACCTTTGGCTTGTTATATATTTGGCTTGTTATATACCTTTGAAATAGGGGCTGTGGTGGTGCAGCAGGTTAAACCTCTAAGATGCAGAACCTGCTGACCAGAAGGTTGGTTATTCGAATCCGCATGGTGAATTCTCCCCAAACCTCTCTAGTATGTTCAGTTGCTGATCGATTCCTCTGTTTGCTCTGTGCCATAGAAAGTAATAGGAAAGGGTTAAGGAAGAGGCAGTGGGCGAAGTCATGCAAATTCCACACTAATGGAGACAGTAAGAAATACTGGGATGTTTGTGGTGGAGAAAAAACAAAATCTAGGATGAAATTGTCCCTGTATGAAAGCCTTTACTTGGGTAGTGGGCAGTATGGTGTTTGTGGAGGACATTGGCACAATGTAGCCTGTAATGTCATTGGAGGGGGGCTGTTGGGGTAGTGGGAGTTATAATAATTTGTGGAAATGGGAACCTGTCTGTGTAAGTGGACTCCCCAGCCACATACACATACATATCTTCTCTTTTATTGTGAGGTTATATATTTACACCCCACTTTTCTCTGCCAAAGGAGACTCAAAACAGTTAACAATAAAAACCATAATAATATGTATATTAAAACCTAAAACATACTAACATTAAAAGTGGAAGTATTAAAATCAAGAATTAAACCATTAAAGCCATTTAAAATACAGAAATACACCACTCTTATTAAATGTGCAGGTGATTGAGAATAATGATAATAATAATAATCTCCCGAAGGACTCAGCGCGGCTTACAACAGGCCAAGGCCCAATACAACAATAAACAAGACAAACAACAATACAGCAGTAAATAAAATTCAAGCAAGAAACATAACAATAACGACGCAATTAAAACCAGTTTCAGGGCCTGATGACATGGTTAAAATTATAAAAAGCAGGGCATGACCAGGTAAAATGGATGTATGTTTTAGAGATAGGTATTTTTTATGTATTTTCACCAAATATCTGCTGTTGTATAAAATATTTTGCTAGATTAACTTATCTGAAGATCTTGCAAATGTGCACACATAATAAATTAATATAGATTTAGTATTGTTTCTTGTGGCTAAAACAGCTACCTCTATTTATTTTAATTTTTTTTAGTATAAAAGCTGAGTGTAGTTTGGCCAGATGGTGGCGCAAGCTTCCTTTTCTAATAATGCTTCTGATTCCATTTCCTAATTTATGGTGTAGTGGTTTAGGTAGTAAAAGAAGAATACATGTACTCTAAACAGGACTTATATAATTTCTTTTTGGTTTCTGCCCCCTCCCTTTCCCACCTTCAGTGATACTCAGAGAGCAAGTCTGGCCAGGCATTTTGTAGCAGCACAAGTTGTTTGTGGCTTCTATTATACAGGCTCGTGACACAAAGGCACTGTTCACCTTTTGGACTAGTTCCATAATCAAACATTCCCCCTTCAGTCCCTTTACAAGACATTGTTGGGCAAGTGGGCTTAATAACAAAAGACCCTCCTAATAAATGTATAGCAGAATAGTTATTAGCAGCAACGTGACCCTGCACCAGTTGCCCAAAGTGATAAAAAGAACAAAAAAACACACAGACCAATGTTATCTCTTCCATAGGAGGCTTTTCTGTACAGCAAAATAATATGGTTGCACTGCTTAAAAAATCATCATCATCATATCATCATATTTAATTACTTATTAATCGCCTTCCATCTGAGATGCCCTAGGCGATTTACATAGCGAAATTGTACAGAATAAAATACATTAAATAAAGTTTCTATAACACAAACAAACAAATACATAGCAACTTTACACGCAGCCGCCTTCACACTGGAGCTTTCTCACACCAGGCTTGTCTCACACAGAGGTTTACTTCACACTCCTCAGGATGACACTAGTGTTGGCCCACTAACTTTAACAGGCTTTGCCCTTCAAGCTCAGGCCCTACACTGCCATATAATGCAGTTTCAGAATGCAGGTTAACTGCATTGAACTGGATTATATAGCAGTGTAGACTCATATCATCATTAATTGCATTAGGGTAAAGGTTGTCCCCTGACATTAAGTCCAGTCATGTCTGACTCTGGGGTGTGGTGCTCATCTCCATCTCTAAGCCGAAGAGCCGGCGTTGTCCATAGACACCTCCAAGGTCATATGGCCAGCATGACTGCATGGAGTGCCGTTACCTTCCCGCCGGAGCGGTACCTATTGATCTACTCACATTTGCATGTTTTCGAACTGCTAGGTTGGCAGAAGCTGGGGCTGACAGCGGAAGCTCACAGTGCTCCCCGGAATCGAACCTGCGACCTCAGCGCTTTAACCCACTGTACCACCGAGGGCTCAATTGCATTATATTAACAACAACAACAACAACAACACTTTTTTTATATTCCACCCTATCTTCCTGGAGGAACTCAGGGCAGATTCCAGACATAAAGGCAAATATTCAATGCCTAAACACAACAATAATTCACCCATAATAACACTCAAACAATAATTCACCCATAATAACAAAATTTGGCAACCCAACATATAAAAACAAATAATGACTTAACAATAAAATTTAAATTTAAAAAACACAATCTGTTATATCAGACAAAATACAAAACATATATTCGTCTATATTGACCATATAATGCAGTTCAAACTTCATTGTATGGCTCTGTAGATAGGGCCTTCATTTTCAGCAAGCGAAGTAAGGGAGGAAGCAGGAAGAAATTGGGACATTTTAAATGCACCTGTAAAAGTGGGATGACAGAGGATTAATGGAGACTGTCTCTCCAAATCTGAGAATTGAAAGGTATGAAATAGTCTAATCTTATATAAAGTAATGCTGTATGGCTTGTATTTTCTATATAGCTGCTAGGTTACACACATCCTGCTTGTTGTGTGCATTGTTGGGTATTGTCCGACACACATCCTGCTTGTTGTGTGCATTGTTGGGTATTGTCCGAACCACATTCTGAGCGTTCTCTTTCCTGCCTAGATACTTGTATTTTTACGAAAAGACAGTAGACCTGCTGGTAGATAATGGGGTTGTGAGCCCTGAAGAGATGACGCTCCCCGTGGTCTCCACAGCTGTCTCCCACCTGTGGCAGGATCTCCCTGAGGAAAGGAGGGACAGTGCCTTGCAGTACTGTAGTCAGAGGCAGAAGACAGCCTCCCAGGAACCTGCCTGGACCCAGAGCAGCAGCGCAAGGGACAGCGGAATGAATAGCCAGGAAGCCAATGTGTCAGTAGGATCCACGCCAGAAGAGGTGAGAGTACCAATTCTGGTTGCTGCCTGAGGGAACCTTTGTTGGAAGGTGTTAGCTGGCCCTGATTGTCTCTTGCCTGGATTTCCCCTGTTTTTGATTGTTTCTCTTTATTTACTGTTTTGATTATAGGGTTTTTTCAATACTGTGGGGACCAGATCCTGTTCATTTTCATGGTTTCCTCCTTTCTGTTGCAATTATCCAGTGGCTTCTCCATGTAGTCTGACATGGTGGTTGTTAGAGTGGTCCAGAATTTCTGCATTCTCTAAAATCAGGACAGTAAAGAAAGAACAACACTCAAAAACGGGGGAAATCCAGACAAGAAACTATCAGGGCCAGCTAATCACAGGATTCCCCCAGGCAGGAAGCAGCCAGGCTTTGAAAGTGCAAGGCTATTGAGTGCTAATCAAGCTGGCCAAGTGCAATATTCACACTTACCACAGGCAGACAAGAATTCTTTCTCCCACCCTGGACATTCCACAAATATATAATTGACGAGAAAGTTGTTCCCTTCACACTGGAAAACACAAGCTTTGGCTAATTAATTAGCTTCTTAATTAGTGGCAATTCCTGCTGTTTCTGTGGGCTTAGCAGTCGACAGTATTCAATGAAATCATGTCAGTGGATGGAATAAAGAATGTAATGGAAAAAATTGATGATACCTCACTAACTATTCAATGATATTGCAAGGCGAAAAGGGCGCAGAGATGAAAGTGGATGAATAGAAGGTATTATAACTAAGCTAAACAGAAGCTCAAGGTGCACTGCTGTGGCTCATATTCCTTATGGTATAGAAAATTTACATAAATGTACATAAACCCAGTTATATGCTTGGGTGCTCAACTGAATTACACTTTGGATGCAAAGAATATAGTAGATGCGTTACTAGAAAGCTCTGGCATGGTTGCTGTCTTTCATTGTGGCCATTTTTATGAATAACTGACTTAGATTCAAAGTTTACAAGCACTTGAAATGTGAAGCTCCCAGTGAAACTGGCAGGCTTCCATCCCTCCTTTAAAAAAATTAATCATGTCAACAGCTTGTAAAGCCAGTAGGTAAGAACTGAACATAGTTAATAATAAGTCGTCTTCCCACTAAGATAGAACAGCTAGATTTTTTTTTTTAAAAAAAGGTTTCGTATATAACTATTATTTACGGTGGCCAGTTTCACCCTTGTTATCCAAGTGTTGTCCCTCCCTTTTTAGGAATCTGGTGTAATGAATGTAGGCATATATAAGGAATATTCTTATTTTAATTGGTTATATAGTGCTGGGCACAAGAGTATCTCAAGCTGTGCAAAGCATAGTATGTTGGATGAGTGGGCTTATTAATAAAATACCCTCCTCATAAGTAACTTATCAGCAGCAGCTGATATCACCTGCACCAGTAGCCCAAAGTGATAAAAAGAACAAAAATACACAGATCAATGTTATCTCTTCCATGGGAGGCTTTTCTTTGTAGTAAAATAATATAGTTGCACTATTTACAACAGGGGTCCTCAAACTTTTTAAACAAAGGGCCAGGTCATAGTCCCTCAGACTATTGGAGGGCCGGATTATAATCTGAAGAAGAAAAAAAAACCATGAATGAATTCCTATGCACACTGCACATATCTTATTTGTAGTGCAAAAAAACCCATTTAAAATATTACAATAATTAAAATTAAGAACAATTTTAGCAAATGTAAACTTATTAGTATTTCAATGGGAAGTGTGGGGCTGCTTTTGGCTGATGAGATAGGATGATTGTTGTTGTTGTTGTTGTTGTGTGCTTTCAAGTCGTTTCAGACTTAGGCTTCGGCCTACTAACTCTTTCAGTGCTTGACTCACATTTTTGTAATTTAAAACACCTAGTTTGTTTTTAATGTTTCTGACATAGTATTTAAATGAAACACTGTTTCCAAAATGCTTTCTCTTTTAGATCCTCTTTGAAGATGCATTTGATGTGGCCACCAGCTTCCTTGACAGAAACAAAACTCAAGAAATATCCAGTCAAAGGTATTGGCCTCAAACACATGAACTGCCATATTACCTCCTAAAGGCAATATGCATTTTAGGACATGGAATCATATTGTGCTAGTGCCCAAAACATTAGTTGATGTGATAGACCAATTTAGTCATTAATTGGAGACTGAAACATTCACTAATCCATTGATTTCTTCTCTTTTAACACAGAGGTGGGATGTGTGTGGCTTTCCAAGTGCTGACTTGCACCTCTCAATAGTCCTATCTAGCATAGATCACACTATGTAACAAAATTTGAAAAAAAAATCCTGGTATGAAAGTGTTTTTTTTCTGTTTAATTATGTCGTACTTACATTGAAAGTAGTTGTCATACTAAAAAAATGGGTTTGTGTGACTGCCACAAACTATGTTAAATTGGTTGAGACTCTATGAGATATTAATTTAAAAAAACTATAGCAAAATGTGCTGCAGGATGTCCCACAAAACAAAGTTTTTGCAGTTTAATAAACATTTTCCATTTTTTAAAAATGATAGAACCAATTAGGAAGTGGCAATTTATAACCCAGGAACAAAAATCGTGTTACATAGTGTAGTCGTCAGGAGTTGTAGTTTAGCAACATTTGTAGGATCACTCGGTTCGTACGCCTGCATTAACAGGACATCAGTGGTATGTTAGTCATGGTCACATCATAGAACAGGAAGGAAAATGCCACTTGAGAGATGTTCTCTGCTTCATTATACTTTTTATTGCATACTAGGACATGCAGTGGGGTTCCCTTTCAAAATAAATCAACCTGTGTCTATAAACCAGGAATGGGCCAACTTGGTCCCTTCGGGTGTTTTGGACTCCAACTCCCACCATTCCTAACAGCCTCAGGCCCCTTCCTTTTCCCCGCTTAAGCGGCTGAGGGGGAAAAGGAAGGGGCCTGAGGGTGTTAGGAATGGTGGGAGTTGAAGTCCAAAACATCCGGAGGGACCAAGTTGGCCCATGCATGAGCTATCTCGACCTACAAATTTGCATATGGTTTCTGATTGGCCAGCCTCAACATTCTAACATTCTTACGTGGCTGAGGGGGGAAAGGAAGGGGCCTGAGACTGTTAGGAATTATCTTCAGCTATTACAGGAGCAGAATCAAACTTTGAAAATTACAAAAGACTATTGAAATAACTACATTCCTATATAGGAAAGTTAGGACCTAACTATTTATCTCTCTGGAAGACATCTTGTCTCTCTCCATGCTCACATGAGAACAAAATGGAGGATTGGGGGGCTTTGCAATGTTGTCTGGACACTTTGAATAGAAAGGCATGTCCTTGAGAAGTACCAGTCTGACAATCACAAATAGGAGGAGACAATAGAGAGACAGGCAGACAAAGAGGGCAATGAAGGATGGGTTTTTCATGCCGACTGACTCATCTGCCTATCTATTTACTTGATGAGGACTATAAACTTGTGCAGGATGTGGTTGAATCCCAACAGGATGCGCATAAACATAATTTGTTTCACTGACAATGACTGCATGTTGGTTTGGACGAAAATATTTGGATGCTTTGACTGGCACGAGAGTAGAAACAAGGTTATATTTTTAAAATTTATTTGTTTATATTTATATTTATATTCTGTCCCTCTCAGCCCGCAGGTGACTCGGAGCGGTTCTCCTTTTCATTTATATCCACCAACCAAGAGAAATTTGGATCTTTGATCTAAGGCAAAAAGCCTACATAGTCTTATTCTTTTGTCCATCCCACAGCCACTAAGGACTTTGTCACACGATGCTTCTAAAGTGCAGTTATGATAGGACAAAAAAGTCCCTGTTGGTGGTGCTTACTGCACAATATCATGGCTGTCCTGTAGTCACATTGTGCTTGACTCGTGATTGGATCATCTCTTTTCACTGAGGGAGCAAACCTGTCAAGGAATGCGATATTGCTGCATTTCAGCTCTTCTTTGTGCAACAATTTCATTCCACTGCAATCTTGGTGAATGGCGTATGGTCAGTCACTGCAACAAAATAGTGTGAGATAAATAAAAATAGAAGAAAAACACAACATAGGCCAAAACAGGAATTCACATCAACAAAATGCCATCATTCAGTTGCGCCAAGATGTGAAAGAGATAGTTTCAACTATGGCAATCTGCTTAAACAATGCAATTATGATGAGACAACAGGCTGTTGTGATAAAGTCAAAAGTTTATTGTTTGTGTCCAAAGAAACAATAAGCATTCTTAAATAGAGGGTAGGCCTGCCCCTCTCTTCCCTCCCCACTGATGGATGAGGAACTTAGCGTAGTTTCATCTCCTGTTTGTAGCTCAGCTTTCACAGGCTGCTCTTCAGAAAGTCAGGATAACCATCGCCTCTACCTGCAGATCACCAGCTTCTTGAAAAGCCTGTTTTTTGCCAGCACACAGCCACCTCAGGTAGGGCTTTACAAAGGGCTTGTTTATAATGCAACATAACCTCTACTTATATCATTTTGAGTCATGTTAGGACCACTTCTTGGGTTGCTGAAACTGCGGGAGCTTGGACATGAGTCATGTCTGCATCTGAAAACAAGGAAATTCTATATGCATGTGATAAAGGCCAAAAGTTAAAGGGATACTGTTTCAAAGCTAGTTTCAGAGTCTCAGGTATATTCTGGAAAGAGTTCCATTTATTTGTGATATCTGTTAATCACACAAGGGGGTTTTGTGCCTATGCAGAGTTGTATTGCGGATGTATTGTGATTATTTTCAGGCATTGAATGTTTGCCTTTTATGTTTGGAATCCTCCTCAAATCCCTTTGGGGAGATAGGGCGGAATATAAATAAAATTTATTATTATTATTTGATTTTTTTAAAAAAAAATTGTAATCAAATCTTTTAACAGTAAAACACACACACAAAGAATATCAACAATACATATGAATATATAAACATAGACATATTTAGACAATGATTACCTAACAAATATACATATCTCCTCTACCTATAAATGTAAAACTATCAATATATACATACATTAGTTTGGATTTCCAATTTCTCGTCAGTTTCTGTACATATTGTGATATAGTCAAGGGCTGGGTATTTGGCAGGAACTTTGCTTCTACTCCGTTAGCATGTTGCTGTTGTCATTATCATTATATGTATTTATATCTCGTTTCCTCTCTTCCAAACGAGACTCAAAGCGGCTAACACTAAAAATTAAAACCCAGAGCATCCAGACATTAAAATAGAATTAAACATTCTATTTAAAATATATAGCTAAAACCAATGAAACCATTAAAAACCTGTTAAATTATGTAAAACACATCCCTAGGTATCATTTAGAAATTTTCCCTTTCTATTTCATGTGTTTATTTTTTCTAACATGATGTATTGATGACCAAGGCCCCTACTACACTGACATGGAAAATCCAGATTATCTGCTTTGAACTGGATTATATGGCAGTATAGATTCATATAATCCAGTTCAAAGCAGATAATGTGGATTACTTGCTTTAATAAAAGGTAAAGGTTGCAAACATTAAGTCTAGTAATGTCTGACTTATTATCATACATACAAATATTTTTGCTGGCCAGAGAAGAAGAGAGGTTTCTCCCTCTTCGTCTACAAGAAAACTGGAAAAGAGATGCAAAGGTGAATCCCCTGTGCCTACTCAGGAAACAATCAAAGTTGCCCTTGCCTTTTATTGAGTGTTGACAGCATATCTGTCACATCCTTTAATTATTTAATAATAACTAATATTAGAGGGGGCCTCCTGGTGGCACAGCAGGTTAAACTGCTGAGCTGCTGAACTTGTTGACCAAAAGCTTGTTGGTTTGAATCCAGGGAATGGGGTGAGCTCTCGCTTCTAGGCCCACCTTCTGCCAACCTAGCAGTTCGAAAACATGCAAATGTGAGTAGATCAGTAGGTTCTGTCTTGGCGGGAAGGTAATGGCGTTCCATGCAGTCATGCCAGCCATATGAGCTAGGAGGTGTCTGCGGACAATGCCAGCTCTTCGGCTTAGAAGTGGAGATGAGCACCACCCCCCAGAGTCGGAAAACTAGACTTAATGTCAGGGGAAACCTTAATCTTTAGTTCTTGTAATTGAGAATTCACCTCGACATGACGTGAGATAGATTGCTTCTTCATAGGGTCACCACAAGCTGAAGGCAATTGATGCCAATTGAGTTGATGACAATTTTCTCTCAACTTCTTAATAAATAAATAAAAGGTGCATAGGCGCCTTTACTTTGATTTAAAATATTTTCTCAACTTTGCTTGCAAAATAATAAAGGAAATTTGATTCCTCTTCCCAATGAATCAACTTTGTATGAGATGGTCAGCGTGATTCAATTACATTTGCTTAGAAGGAGCAATGGGCTTAGTAACGTGTACTCTCCACTAAATATCCCCAGGATGGGAACCAGAGTTCTATATATTTTAAGCACGGTGGTTTGAGCTTGACGTAGTTAATAATAACATCTTTTGAAGTCCTTCCATGGTACACCCATGGATAAAAAGGTGGTTAGCCAGATGTGACACCTGTTACGTTGCTTGGTAGATTATCATGCTCGAGTGCATTGTTTTTAATCTTGATAGCCCTAATTGTTATCAGCGGATTCTCCCTGCCTTCTTCCTTCCCGCAGGGATTGTGTAGGCAGATTTCAAAGCAGTATAGAACAGGATATAACTGGCCTGTCTAGCTCTGGTGGATAAAAAGCCATTGGGAGGAGATAATTTCCCTCTGCTCTCTAGTCCCAGGACCAAGAATCCTATTTGCCATGAATCAGAGCTAAGATGTTTTTAATCTATTGACTCCAGAATTCCCCCAGCAGCATAAACACTAGCCATGGTATTTGGCGGGGTGGGATAATAATAATAATAACAATAACAATATGATCAAGGCTATCAACACCTGGGCCATCTCTGTCATCAGATACACTGCTAGAATTGTGAACTGGACACAAGCAGAGCTGGATGATCTGGACAGAAAAACAAGAAAACAGATGACAATCCACTACTCATTACACCCATGTAGTGATGTCAACAGACTACCTGCCCAGAAAATCAGGAGGTAGAGGGTTTCTGCAAGTGAAACAAACCCCGCTCCCTGGATTTGAACCACCGACCTTTCGGTCAGCAGTCTTGCCGGCACAAGGGTTTAACCCATTGCGCCACCAAAGGTTGCCTACTACCCATATTTGCTAGTGTTGGGGATAGATGTGTGGGTATGTGATTTGAAAACCTAGATTTTTTCCAAGCATGGAATAACTTACATTAAGCCAAGCAGCCTTTGCATCTTTTTTTCCCATTCATTTGCAATGGATAACATGCATCTATCCTGTTTGGAAGACCTACCAAATTGTATCTTGTCTACATTTCTGCTGCAGAAGAATGGTCTTCTGTTGCACTGATACAGATTTTTTGTTACATCTGCCATTAGGGTTAGCTAGGAGATATAAAACCTAACACAGCTTAGATCTGACTAGTGTTGTTATTAATATTTCCTTGCAGTCCTTCTCTTGACAGACAAGGCTTTCTTTTATTCTGATGGACTTTTGAGAAAGTGCTTTAAAGATTGTCGAAGGCTTTCATGGCCAAAATCACTGGGTTGCTGTAGATTTTTTTGGGCTATATGGCCATGTTCTAGAGGCATTCTCTCCTGACGTTTCGCCTGCATCTATGGCAAGCATCCTGAGGATGCTTGCCATAGATGCAGGCGAAACGTCTGAAGAGAATGCCTCTAGAACATGGCCATATAGACCGAAAAAACCTACAACAATCCGGCTTTGAATATGGTGCTGGATTGTTTTTATTGTACTTTTGTAAAAAACTGATTTTATCACTTTAATTGCATATTTGCAGTTGTTTTCATGTGTTGATAGTTTCATTCCATTTTAGCTTTAACTGTATTGTATTTTAATTTGTAAGCTGGTTTAAGTACTAGTTTTGGAGACTACAAAGCCTAGTAGAAATGGAATTAATAACAACATCAATAGCAATAGGATGGATTTATATGACAATGACTGAAAGATAAACCAGATGATGTGATAATGTGACTGACTAATCTGCAAGCAGATGAATAAGATCACTTGTCCCTATCCGACTCACCCATTCTAGCAAAACAAAGATTCTGCAGATTTTAGTTAGGCAGGAATAGCAGGTTTCCAGTTGAGTGTTTTTGGGGAGAAACAGAAGTAGCTAGACTTGTTTTCAGATTAATTTTTCAAGAAATCCAGCAGCACCCAGTTTCTTTTAAGATAACCACAGCAGAAGACGCCTCAATAAAGATTAAGGGGACAGTGTAGGATAGTTTTGGTGCCAGCCAGATCTCTGTTCCTATGTGGTGAAGTACCCATTAAATGATTGTGTCTGATTCCTAGAGAAAAGTTGGGATCTATGTGGAAGTCTGTTATGCTAGGCATTTGAGCAGTACAAAGGAGGAATGTTAGTACTGCATACTTTAGCTGGAATTCCAATACCTGATATCCTTCTATACGCAGATGATGTTCAACTCTATTACTCCTTTCCACCAGATGCCAAGGAAAAAGATTTATATTTGAAAATCATTTAAAATTTGCAGTACTGAAAGTGGTGATCCATGGACTGGAGCCAGTCTGCAGCAAGTTTGCAGGAAGTAATGAAACAGTTATGTGTGTTGTCAAAGGCTGTCATAGTTGGAATCACTGGGTTGCTATTAGTTTTCCGGGCTGTATGTCCATGTTCCAGAAGTGTTCTCTCCTGACGTTTCGTCCACATTTATGGCAGGCATTCTCAACCTCTGAGGGTGCCTGCCATAGATGTGGGTGAAATGTCAGGAGAGAATGCTTTTGGAACATTGCCATACAGCCCAGAAAACTCGCAGCAACCCAGAAACAGTTATAGTCAATGGGTAGAAACAGGGCCCAGTCTTTCCCTGATATGCGGTTGAAAAATTCAACCAACACCATGTTACTCATTTTAATGTTTATTCATTAACCTGATAATACCAAATATATTTTCCTGTTTTTACGAGTTGTAACAGAAGTTTTATCCACCCCCCACCCCATTTATGTTTTGCAGGAAGAGGTTTTCCAGTTGGATTATGAAACTGTGATGCTGAGATGCACAGAAACATTTGATGATGAAGATTTGTGAATGAACCTCTGTCTATTAATTATGAAAAATGTAATTTTTTTCTCAATGGTCTCTCACTCCCTCACCCAGGAATGCCATAGGAGGACAAGGGAGATGTTTGCACCCATTTGTATTGGATGCATCATGTTTGGAATAGTTTTGTTTATATTGACTTCATAGTTTTTTGCCAGTTCAGTTATTTGTACTTTTTACATGCATTGGAATTTGATATTTATAAACTTTTAAAGCTTTTAAAATCATACATCTCATGTTTGGTGCTAACAACTGTAAAGCTGTACATTTTGGGAAGAAGTTGAGTTTGAAGGGTCACGCCAGGATTCTCTATGTAACAATGTCATTGTGGAGCCTGCCATGTAGTACATACATAATTTTCCTATAGAATTCTGGTGAACGTTTTTAAAAGCTAGATATGTCATCCAAATAAAAAAAATAATTCTATGCTCGGCTGTTAACAGATCCCCCAGCTCTTTTCCTAACCCATTGAAAGAAATGATTTTAACAACCTAAGTAAAGGTAAAGGTTTCCCCTTGACATTAAGTCTAGTTGTGTCTGACTCTGGGAGGTGGTGCTCATCTCCATTTCCAAGCCGAAGAGCCAGTGTTGTCTGTACACACCTCCAAAGTTGTGGCTGGCATGACTGCAAGGAGCGCCATTACCTTACTGCCGGAGCAGTACGTATTGATCTACTCACATTTGCATGTTTTCGAACTGCTAGGCTGTCAAAGCTGGGGCTAACAGCGGGAGCTCACCCCGCTCCCTGGATTTGAACTACTAATCTTTTGGTCAGCAAGTTCAGCAGCTCAGTGGTTTAACCCGTTGCGCCACCTAGGGCTCCATAACAACATAAAGAAGTTGATTTCTAGGTGGTTATTCTGATGAGATGGGTGGGTGCATAAAAGGAGATAAAGGGGGGAGAGATATGGAGAAAGAAGGTGAGAAAGGGAAATTAATTAGGGAAGGAATAAGATGAGTCTAATTAGAGATGGAGGAAGAAGTGTAAGAGAGATAAAGAGAGAATTAAGAGAAGAAACTTTTCCCAAGAATTATGGGTGTGGTGAAGTGAGAAGGTGAAAAAAACTGAGGAATATAGTATCTAAAGAATTAGGGAGATAAATGTAGGCAGGACTTACTGAGGTGGAGAAGGAGAAAACGGATGAAAAAGATAGAAGGCAACAGTGTTAGTCAAGAGATATGAGGTGAGTGGAGAATAGAGACAAAAAAGAAGAGAAAGTGGGATTGAAAATGGAAAAAGTAAATAATGGAATATCTAGGAGGAAGTGAAGGAGAGACATTTGTACCAGGCTTCCCCCCCCCCCCCCTTTTTTTGCACAACAGTGCAAATAGGCTAATGACACAGATCAAAAAAGGTCAATCATGGTCAATCAATCACTGGTGGCAGAACATGAATGTCTTGCACAGATGGAATCTTGGTAGTGAATCCACGAATGACCGGAGACCTATTCTGGATCCAAATGGTCTTTTGTAGTCATGAGGACATATATTTCTAGATGGAAAGCAGTTATGACAAGGATTTGCTTGATGCGCCTTCCTCTTGGCACATTTTTCCCATTCACTCTTTATTTAAAATCCACAGCATTGTTGATAATAGCTGACCTCCAGTTAGAGGGCTGGAGAACCAGGGCTTTCTAGTTCTCAGTGTTTATTCCACATTTTTAGGGTTAGCTTTAAGCCCATCTTTAAATCTCTTTTTCTGTCCACTGACATTCCATATTCCATTCTTGAGGTGAGATTAAAGTAACTGCTTTGGGAGACGGTGGTTGGGCATTTGGACAACGTGGCCGGTCCCGCAAAGTTGATGGCAGAGAATCATTGCTTCAGTGCTGGTGCTCTTTGCTTCTTCCAGGACGTTGACATTTGTCCACCTGTCTTTGCAAAATATTTGCAGGATTTTTCAAATACAACACTGATTAAGTCTACTCATGTCCGACTCTGGGAGGTGATGCTCATATCCATTTCTAAGCCAAAGATCCAGCATTGTCCGTAATCACCTCCAAGGTCATGTGGCCGGCATGACTGCATGGAGTGCCATTTACCTTCCCACAGAAGTGGTACCTATTGATCTACTCACATTTGCATGCTTTTGAACTGCTAGATTGGCAGAAACTGGAGTCCTAGCTTCTTCATAACCTCTTACTCTCCTTAAAATTTATGATTTATTTTTTGGTTCTTTAGTTATAATGATAATCTAATCTAAGCCACAGGCCTTAGTCTGTCAGCAAGACCTTAGCAAAGGTATTGATGCAAAGGTGACCTGGAGACATCTCATTCATGGAGTTGCTATAAGTCAATGTAGACTTGATGGCAGTTAATGACAAACATTTCTGAGCCACTTGCAATACCTCCATACCACAAAGGTCAGGAATTTAAGGAAGGCAGCTTTCACGGTCTGCCCTTTAATCAGCCAAATAATTATTAAATGCAGGCTTTCAGATCATTACTGGTGGCTGAGTGGAAGAGTTTACATTGTTTTAATGATTGCTTTCCATATCAAAGTCTCATGGAAATACTTAAAATATGCCCGAGCTGGGTTGTCATTTATTCAGAGTAATTAAAAATGGTCAAGCATAACAAGGAAGGCAATCTGTATAATTATTTAGTTCTATAATTTCCTGACCTACTCTTCTGTATTAAGATATGCTTAGGGTGGGACCCTAGATTATTAAAGCATCAAAGAATGCAATACAAACAAAGGGTCAGTATCAAGCGAGATTTAGGAGAAGCAGTCAAATTAAGGATGGAATAACAGTTGGATCTCTTCAAGGTCCATTAAACATCATTTCAGATCACACCAAAAATCATATTTTCTCAGGAAGCCATTTTTGTTTACATATTTTTATTGAAATTTCATATCAATAAGATAATAATAATAATAATAATAATAATAATAATAATAATAATAATAATGGAAAAAAGGGGAAAAGAAAGAAATTAAGAGTTTTCTGTACTTCCAATCTCCTTCCTTGCTGGGTTCAACTATATTCTAGAATTTTTAGATTTATTGCTTCCTCCTCGTCTATTTATGTCTTGTTATCGTGTACTTCTGATTATTGGGCTGGCTATATAATTAATGTTCTCTTTTCTTTTTGCATGTAAGTTCTGAATGGTTCCAGTCCATCCTTTTCTTTGGTATTTCATGGTGTTAGGAGTTAGGTCAATTCTTCCATTTTCATAATTTTAATTAACCATTGCTCTTTTGTAGGTATTTCTTTTTGTCGCCACATCTTGGCACATATCATTCTCGCCACCTTGAATATATAATTCAGAAGCACTTCTTCTGGAAGCCATTTCTTAATCTAGATGCCACTGCACAGAAGGCCCTGCCACACATCTGTCACATAATGAAGAAATCTGATGTAAAGTGAAATTCAGAAACATTTATGTTGCAAAACAGAAGTGTCAGTTTGTTGAGATTTCCAGCCATTATATTTTTATATGTTTCACTGATGCAAGAAATGCACATTTAAAGTGTTACTTGTAAAGCTACCTTTATTACTTTGTAATGCTAAATGTGATATTTACTTACTTGCAAGGCCTGTTGAGCATTTTACATCATTTTGGTGATAATTATGACCTGTCATGGCAGTTGTAAGTGGGCCAAACACAAATTGAGAGAGTGGGAGTTTTGGTATCCTTCCTTGAGTTTCGGTTACTCTAACTGGGCTTTGCTATCCCTAACATTGGGCTGGATGTTTCATCCTGCTCAAAAGACAGGTTTTTAAGTGACTGAGAATATTTTTTTAAACACAATTATATTTGTGTCTTTCTGAGAACAGCAATTCCTGTACCAGTTTTTTAACTCACTTGTTTAATGACTTGCATTTGTGGATGTTCCTTGTGAAAGCTCAGAAAAACTTGAAACACACTCAAGGGACCACGTTGGCTTTCATAATCTGTTTTGTGTCATCATAATTAATCCCCATTTGTGTGAGTGGCAAGAGAGGACTTTCTTGTTCACTTGTTGCAAAATGGCTTTGCTAATTCAGGATTGTCCCAGGTCCTGAGGTTCATGAGTCAATACCCGAGATCTAGGAATGACCAGTAAATAAGTATGCATCAAATACTAACAGTTTCCAAGTCTGTCATTCAAACACACACACACGTGGAGTGAAAGGGAGAGAGAATGTGTATGCCTTTTTTTAGAAACAAAGGAATTTTAGCTGAAGTCTGGGTTGGTCCCAGATCAAGGGATTAAGGGATTATTTCCCCCCTAATTTAGGAATATTTAATTTAGTTCACTTGCTTTTAACCAAGTGGATGTGGAACAGAGTTGAAGGATGAGTCCTGCCATTGTAACAACTGAGAGTGAAAGAGGAACCTTAAGTTACTCTGAAGTGGGAAAATTTTCTTTCCTATTGAATAAAATGTTCTTTCTTATTGAATAAAGCTTGGTCTTTGGACACCATCACCAATAAAACTTGCATGTATTTGCTAAAGGATAAAAGAATGGTTCTGACAAAAACGTGTACCATTTCTCAATCTGTGGGTTGGGACCCCTGGGGGGGTGGTCATGAGGGGGTGTCAGAGGGGTCGCCAAACACCATCAGAAAGCACAGTATTTTCTGTTGGCCATGAGGATTCTGTGTGGGAAGTTTGTCCCAATTCTATCGCTGGTGGGGTTCAAAATGCTCTTTGATTGTAGGTGAACTACAGATCCCAGCAACTACAACTCCCAAATGTCATGGTCTATTTCCCCCAACTCCATCAGTGTTCACATTTGGGCATATTGAGTATCCGTGCCAAGTTTGGTTCTGATCCATCATAGTTTGAGTCCACAGTGCTCTCTGGATGTAGGTGAACTACAACTCCAAAACTCAAGGTCAGTGCCCACCAAACTCTTCCAGTATTTACTGATGGTCATGGGAGTTCTGTGTGCCAAATTTGGTTCAATTCCATTGTTGGAGTTCAGATTGCTCTTGATTATAGGCGAACTATAAATTCCAGCAACTACAACTCCCAAATGTCAAAATCACACACACACCCAACCCTACCAATATTCAAATTTGGGCACATTGGGCATTTCTGCCCAATTTGGTCCAGTGAAGGAAAATACATCCTGCATATCAGATATTTACATTATGATTCATAACAGTAGCCAAATTACAGTTATGAAGTAGCAACAAAACTAATTTAATATTTGGGGTCACCACAAGATGAGGAACTGCATTAAAGGGCCACAGCATTAGGAAGGTTGAAAACCACTGATTTTGGCTTACAGTTACTATCAACCCTAGCCAACATTGCCAACGATAGTATTAAGGGAGGTGGTAAGAAACATTTGGGGGACCACAGTCACTTGCCTCTAAATTAAATGAAGCACAGGAGTCACAGCAGATACTATCCAAGGTACAGGAGATAGCATGGATCTTAATTTTTTTTTTATGTGAGCTCAACAAGGTTTTTCCATCTACCCCTTCCCTCAATAGCCCCATGGAACTTGTCCCCTTTCAGTCATCTCCCAAGAATTGGTGGGTCTTGGCACAACACAGAATATGGTTCACTTTCACAAAATTGGAGAGACCATTTTTAAATAACAGATTTATTCAGAAGTCCCAGACCAATTCTGAAGCTCATTGTAGCAGATAAATAAAACAAACCATGGGGCATGCAACCTCCAGAGACTCAACAAACCTGTAGATTTAAAGATGGAAGAACAGCACGATATGGAGGCACACAGAGTATTCTGGAGAACCGTACAAGTTCAGTCTGGGTGAGACAAGGTTGGATTCTATGCAACATGGCCCAGGTGTCTTTCTCCCTTTGACTACCTTGTCCAGTTCCTCATGAATCCAAGAATGACACTCATCTATTCTGGGCAGCAGATTCCCAATGCAGAAGTTCCCCACTCCCAGCAAGATTGACTATTCCTCAAACTCATACTGTATTTTTTTCTGAAAAGAAACTGAAACAAGGATCCCATTTTTGCTGTGGGTGGTAAATCATTCCATGGCCACAGCCATAGTCTTGGTGAGGAAGTTAGCCAAAGAGAGGATGTCCAAGTTTATTTGCTGGTGTAGCCTTATATCTTGGTGTCAATGTTAATCTCTGTGTCCTTTTCTGAACTGATCTTCTTGCTTGCATCTTCTGCATAGTTGTTGAGTTCGTTTGCACTATGACTTGCTGGTCGTTTGGGGCACGTTGGGAGATACTGAAACCAGTTAGCAACACAGAACTTGGAACCAAATCCAAAGGGTAAGTCGTAAACGCTTGACATATTCACAGTCTCATCAGATTGATCTCCACAACTTTCTCTCCATGCATCAATTCCTCGTTCCTCCTTGCTCCCTGCCAAGGAAAGAAACAAGCTGGTTAGTACAGGCTTATCAGGAAAGTTATAGTATAGTTCACAAAGGCATTTCATGCCTGTGATAAGCAACATTACCTCTGGTGCCATAAAAAGGATACCCTTTACATATATGTATACCTTTTTAGACCAAGGGAGAAATTTAACAGTTATTCACAATAAACAATTGACTATAACAAAACATAATTTCAGATATAGTAACATTGAGTAAAATTACCGTATATACTGTAGTATAAACCGACCCAAATATAAGCCGAGGCAACTAATTTTAGCACAAAAAACTGGGAAAACGTATTGACTTGAGTATAAGCCGAGGGTGGGAAATGCAGCAGCTACTGGTAAATTTCAAAAATAAAAATAGATACCAATATAATTACATTAATTGAGGCATCAGTTGGTTAAATGTTTTTGAATATTTACATGAAACCGGACCAGGCTGTGGCACAGCTGGTTAATAGCCAGCTGCATTGAATCATTACTGACCAAGAACTCATGAGTTCAAAGCCAGCCCGGGTTGGAGTAAGCTTCCAACCATTAATAGTCTAGGTGCTGTTGACCTATGCAGCCCGAAAGACAGTTGCATCTATCAAGTAGAAAATTTAGGTACCGCTTTATGTGCGGAGGCTAATTTAACTAATTTACAATGCTGTAAAACCTTCCAGCAGTGTGCAGAAGAATGAGGAAGTACTCCATCAAAGGACCTGGTGTCACAAATGGATGGTGAAGCAGCAGCTCCCCCTGTAGCCAGAACCAAGCATACCCTCACGGAGCCAGAAAAGCTGGAATGTTATATTGCCTCTGTGTCTGTCTATATATGTTGTATGTGTAATTGACATTGAATTTTTGCCATGTATATGTGCATTGTAATCTGCCCTGAGCCCCCTGCGGGGTAAGAAAGATGGAATATAAATACTGCAAATAAATAAATAAATAAACAAACTGTAATTTAAGATAAGACTGTCTAACTCTGATGATATCATTATTCTAACCTTCTTCAATGTAAATGTGCTTACATATCCTTCCAATAATCATCATAGTTTATTTTAACTATACATTTTGGGGAAAGTGCTGTGTGTATATAAATAAGGAAAAGTGGGAAAGACTGGCATGGGAAGGGGGTGGGAAAGAAGGAATGGAAAAGTGAAAAGGTTGGAATGAGAAGGGGTGGTTGAAAAAGTGGGGAAATGAGGTGGAAAGGGGTCGCTAGAAAAGTAGGACAGATTGGGGCAGGAAAGGGGAATGTCTGAGGTATGAAAGGGGGGCTGGAAACTGGGAAAGGTTGGGATGGAAAGAGGGGCTGGAAAAGTGGGAAAYACCCCAATCTAAAGTGTTAAGGGAGGTTTCTTTATCTTCTTTTTCCTTTCTTTCTTTCTCTTCCATTCCTTCTTTCCCATCTTTCTTTCCCCCCTAACTTCCCTCCCACCTCCTTTCCTCCCTTTCTCCATTTTCTCACCCCTTCCCTCCCTCTGTTTTTCTTTCTTCCTTCTCCCATTCCTTCCTACTTTCTCCCCTTCTACCATCTACACTCCATGCCAACACTCCATACATGGTGCTCCAGAATCAATAGGGAGACCCCACTTCTGAGAAGGTGACGCCTTTGCAAAAGAGAAGGACAGTGGTGATGTGACTCTTCCCCTCCCATTTCTGGAGCCAGGGACACCGAGAGAGAGAGAGAGAGGGGGGGGGGAGAGGAAGAAAGGCATGCGAGAGAAGGGGAGAAGGGGAGAAGGAGGAAGGCAAGAGCTGGGTTGCTATCCAGAGAGGCAAGGGTCCTGGTGAGAAGGTGTGGGGCTGAAATAAGGGCTTCTTTCAGCCTCACAACTTCCCGCCAGAGCTCTCACTCAACTATAAGTCGAGGGGGGATTTCAGCCCTAAAAAGGACTGAAAAATTAGGCTTATACTCAAGAATATACAGTCTCAATATGCGTTCTTTACATTATTTCTTTCTGAGTATGTGTATAACACAAGGTGTCCTAGAACAAATGTAACTCGATAGGATGTTACATGAGGAGCAGCTTAAAGAGTTGGGCATGTTTAACCTTCAGAAGAGAAGGCTGAGAGGAGACATGATGAGAGCCATGTATAAATATGTGAGGGGAAGTCATAGCAAGGAGAGAGCAGGCTTGTTTTCTGCTGCCCTGGAGACTAGGACGTGGAACAATGGCTTCAAACTACAGGAAAGGATATTACATCTGAACATGAGGAAGGACTTCCTGAATGTGAGAGCTGTACAGCAGCTGAACTCTCTGCCCTGGAGTGTGGTGGAGGCTCTTTCTTTGGAGTCTTTTAAGCAAACGCTGGATGGCTATCTGTTGGGGGTGCTTTGAACGTGATTTTCCTGCTTCTTGGCAGGGGGTTGGACTGGATGGCCCACGAGGTCTCTTCCAGCACTATGATTCTATGATGTTGAACAGAGACACTGAATTTTCCTACCCACCTTGATGAAGGAATCCAGAGATTTGGATTGTGGCATTCTGCCAAAAAGGGACAAAGGCAACACAAATGCAATTGTATCCTCAGCATCCATGACAGAAAACTGCCTGAGCCCAACCAAAGGTGGAGACAGTCTCTCTTGCTTCAGCAAAAACCCCCACTGATTTCTTGTACTGCATCGATGAGCCCCTGAAATATTACTTGGGCTTCATGGAGGTTGCTATAAATCTGGGTCATCAAATTTTGCTACCCGCCTTGTTGAAGGAATCAAGAGATCCAACAGGGTAGACAGGGCCCAACTGAAGGAATCTTTCTTGCAGGAATAGCACCACCCTCACAACAGGTGTTTACTTTGTAGTCAGGAAATGTGCATACCTGTGGTTGGTGACTTTCTTGTTTGCTTGTCTGCTTGTTTTGTTATGCTATCCTATGTCCAAAAACCCTCTTAAGGGGATATAAAAACAATGAACAAGTCTGATCCTAGGTCATGAAAGCTCTGGTGAAGAGGCAGGTTTTTAAAACATCTTGGCACCAAAATGAAGCCAGAACTAATGAAAATCAGGCCTTCGAAGGGAAAAGTACTCTAGAACCATGATATGACATTAGGGAAGGCTGTCTTCCACTTATCCACACAAGGCATTGGTGCCAATGATAAAACACAGAGAAAGGCGTCTCTCATAATTCCCAGGTCAGGAAAGGGATATATGTATGTATATATGTATTTACTTCACTTGTATACTGCTTTTCTCACCCTGGGTGGGGGGGGATGACTTAAAGCGGTTTCCAACATATTTATGGCAAAATGTAATGCCTCAAAAACATATGAAACCTAACATAAAACAACAATAACACATAACTATCGATTACATCATTAAAAACGTAACATTTAAACATTAGTTTAAAAACATATTAATAAAATGAGTTTAAAACATATTAATATAAACGTTAAAATCACATAATCCAGAAATCACGGCCCAAGACCGTACCAAATATCAAATATCAATTGCACATAATATGTAGGGAGAGTATTGAGTTCTCCATCTATTTAGGCCAGTGGTTCTCAACCTGTGGGTCCCCAGATGTTTTGGCCTTAAACACCCAAAGAGGCTTTGATGCTTAAAGCACTGGCAAACAAATGCAGTCTTACCTGTACTAGTACAGTATTAGAAAATAATACAGGCCTCTAGCCAAGAAAACAGAATGACTGTCACTCCTACCTGGAATAGTGTTGTCAAGGAGGAAGCCTAGGAATCCCCCCACAAACATGCCCGTAGTTAGCAGCACCCGGAGCACTTGGTCCAGCTGGACAATTCCTAGAAACAGAATTAATTTGTCAGACAAGCATCGGAACAAGTTAGAATTCTCTCCCACAGCCCAAACTCCCAGTTGCCACCAGCAAAAAAAAACAACAAAAAACAACCCCACCCCCTAAAACCCCCACCCCCTAAAAACCAAAACCTCAAGCTATGACATTCATCTGACACTAAACCAGCTTCAATGTGAATCATGTGCAACTGCGTTGCAACCATTTTGATGGATGCAATTGTTAATGCCAGGATTGCTACCCAATTTACTGTATAATTTCCCATGCACAAAGTTTTAATAAACACAAAAGCAATCTAGAATACTAGGAATTACCCTGGTGAGTCAAACCACTGGTCCATCAAACTCAACACTCTGTTAAATGGATGCAGTAGGATTATCAACTGGGTACACAGTAATGGAAAACACCAGGGCACACATAAGAGCAAACATCTCTCTAGAATAGGGGATGAAATGTGTGCCCACCTGACGAAGTGTCACTCCCAGCATTACATATTCTCAGTATTGCAACTCATCCAATTAACCCTGAGATTCCATCTCTTACTGCTAAATGCCCAATATCTGATAGGATGAAGGTACAATTTGGGCTCGGTGTGATTTGGCTACTAATGGATGTCTCCGCTTTATTCTCAGCTACTTTTCTTCTTCACCTAAACATAATAGTTCAATAAATTCTGTGTACTGCATAGGAAATGCATCCTTCTCCATGAGTTACACAGAAGTCAGCATGGGCAACTCTATTCATTAAACAGGAGAGTGTTTTGAGTAATATCAGCAAACATCTCAAGACCAAATATCTAGTCCCATTCACTAATTTGGTAAATCAGTAGTAGAAGAGGCAACATTTTGAATCACTAGTAGAAGAGGCAACATTTTAACCCTCAGACCCATCTACAGTTTTGTCTCCTAAAAAGGCAGGGTTTCCAATTCTATGCAGAGTACCTACTGTTGGAATTCAACCCCACACTACCCAAGTCTCAAGTCCTCTATGAGGAACAGTTTAGTTAGTTTAGTATAGGCTGAGGGAGTGCCCTTCATCATGTATTTTGTATGACAGTTGGAATGGGGGATTCCTGGGGATTTTCTATTTAACCCAGGTAATTCTGTGGTATGCTTCTGCCATAAGTTATCACAGGGTCACTCTGGAGGACCTAGCTAATTCGTAGAGAAGATAGCTCTCTGGGGATGTTCTAGGTCCTTCAATGCAACTTTATCGTAACTTTCAGCAGAAGTCATTCATTTCAATAACATTTTCAATTATGCAGTTTCCTGTTTCCACAGTAAGTGCAGGAATATATCTCCCATGGATACGGAGGCTGCATTGTGCATCTGTTAAAATGGACTCATTTGCGTATATGTCATTTAACTGAAACCACTACTACTAGAAACTAATTCCTGAAACTGCACTTCTCTTTTAAGTAAAGTCACATTTCTAATTATTGTCAGTTCTGAAAAATTTCATTTTTATTCTGACCGTTACTTCAGATAAAAGATTATACATTAAAAAGTCACAATCTTTTTATGTACCTGTTTCCAGCATGTGTGAATTATTCTGTACCCAGTAAGGAAGCGTTAAACCCGTGAATACTGAAAATCCGAAGATGAACAAGTTTCTTGAAGAGTTCATGTCTACATACTGAATAAAGAGGTAACATTATTTTCAGATCAAAAATTTTGACCAAGGCCCACTTTGACCAGGTACCACTCTCCAACATTAGTACCAAAAGGGTTACAAATCGGTTTTTGGTCAACTTTAATTTTGGTTTGCACTTTGGCTGATTCAGAAAAGGGCATTGGATAGACCACATCAGTTCTAGTTTCTGATACAGAACATATGCCATCCAGTAGTTGCCATCTGCTCGCCCACAGAAAACTATATTTAATAAGCTTTGGCACTATAATAGGGTTTCGCAAGACCACTCACTCTCGTTGCAATGATGTAGTAATGATGGCTGCGGACCATAATTTAGGTCTTGTGGATCACTGATGGTCAATGGATCACAGGTTGTGAACCACTACATTAAACTAAGAAAACCCTATGAAATTATTGGGGTTGCTGTAAGTCGGCAGGTGATATGAACGCACACATTCGCAATCATAATATAATCAAAATATAACTGGATAAGAAATACTGCTATTCCCCTTTGCCTTCAAGCCAAACCAGGAACATGAATGGTTAATGCTATATTAAGCTTTGTACCTTTTGTACCTCCATTAGGATTTGTATCTCCCCATAAAGATCTCATAAAATCATCTTGTAATCTTATTTGAGAAAAGGTCATCTATCCTATTAGTCAGAAAGATACCAAGATATCTCACTGGCTTAAGTTCTATTTAAGCTTATGCCGATTTATCTATTCTTCTATATAGTAGAAGTTAATGTTTAAGCCTAATTGTTCATCACCTACACACTGCAGTATAGCTTTAATCATTCTTTTGTATCTGTTAAAGATTAAGAATAAGCTATGTGCTTATTGTAATTGTAAAGTTGTGTGGACCGTTGCTTTCCTGTCAGTGGTTTGTACTAACCTGATTGTTACTGCAAGTGTTCACTCATTAAAGTCAACATCAACACTGATAGAGTTCAATGTTGCAATGCATCAGAGCAATTGAATAGAAGTGAGAGTGGAAGGGAATATTTAGTACTTCCAAAGGCCTGTTTGGTTTGTGCCAGGCAGAGCAAGTACAAGAGCAAAAGTCTGCTTCAAGTGTTGCTTTTCCTCCATACCATTCCATCTGGTTTCAAAGAAACCAAATGGAGTCTGACATAGTTAAAGGACACAATTCTTGGGTTTCATGGGAAGCAAAAGGTGTTGAATCAAGTGGATATAAGGCTGCTCTCACTTGGCTTTTGAAATCACTCTATTTCAGGACCTACTTCTCTGGAAGCTTTAAACCAGTAGTTCCCAACCTTTTTTGACCAGGGACCACTTTGACCAGGGACTACTCTCCAACATTAGTTCCAAAGGGTTACGAATCAGTTTTTGGTCAATTTTAGATTTGGTTTGGCTACTTGGGGTGCTGATTCAGAAAATTGCATTGGATAGACCACATCAGCTCTAGTTTCTGATACAGAACATATGCCATCCAGTAGTCGCCATCTGCTCACCGACAGAAAACCAGATTTAATAAGCCCCAGCACTATAAGAGGGTTTTGCAAGATCAGTCGCTCTTGTTGCAACAGTATAGTAAAGGTGAGGCTGCGGACCATATTTGAGTTTTTGCAGAGCACTGGTGGTCCATGGACCACAGGTTGGGAACCACTGGTTTAAACAGAGATTGGATAGTCATCCATCTGGGTGCTTTGTTTGTTAATTCCGACATAGAAAGGATTGGGTTGGAAAACCCTTGTGGTTCCTTCCAACTTTATGATTCTATGAAATATTACTAGTAGATGATGCTTACAGAAACTTTGGGGATATACTGGATGCTCTGCAGTGCTCCCAAACAGTGCTCATCAACTAGTGAGAGACACTTTCACTCTTCCTAATTCAGTATCTTCTCACATAATCTGGTCAAATAAAATGTCTTACTAGAGTAACTTTGAAGTCCAGAAATTGGAATGGCTTCTGAGTTTTTTTTCTCAAAAGATTGTAAAATCTTCACATATCAAGCACTCTCCAATTACAACTGTGTAAAGGTTTTACCATCTTTTGAGGGGAAAAAACCCTTAGAAGCCATTCCTGTTGTGTGTGTGCGCACAAATAATGGATACTATATTTACTCTGTCTATGATTGCATTCCCATTGGGCAGTTTACTCCAGTGTAAAGCTTGCCCGGAGAATTACATGTTAAATCCTGAGTCAATGTCCAGGTGGGCCAGAACCACATCAGCTCCACTGGGCTGTCGCCACATCCTCTGTGTAGTTGCTGCTACTCCCTGCTGGCTACAGAGCTCCATCCAAGAAGCAGGAAAAGTAATCTCTCAATGTTTTGGTAGCAATCTATCAGAGATATTCAAAAAATTTTGCTCCCTCAAGCAAATAATTATATTTATCACTCCTCCTTTTCAATATTTAAAAGCCAACAAGTTAGATAGTTATATATTTCTTCTACAATGACAACAGGACACCATTGCCCACTACAAGTAATGGCCACTTAGGAGATACGGAGCACCCATGACTCTGTATTTGGCTCTGCACTTCAACACCTCTTACCTGTAGATTGGAAACCCCCACAGCAGTGATGATACCGAATGTCACAAAGAACATTCCTCCAATTATAGGTGTTGGGATGCTGGCAAACATAGCCCCGATCTTCCCAAATAGGCCAGTCACAAGCATAACACAAGCACCGGCCACAATGACCATTCTGCTCCCTACCTATATTGGAAGAAAAAGAAAATGATATGCAAGATGTAAAAATGACAAGGAGGGTGGCAACTTTTAGATCTCTGTCAGTTCTGACAATATTTACATTTACAATAAGGCTATGAGAATTGCCTTGATCAGCTTAAATTCTCTAAAGTACAGTAATAGATACTGAATATGTCAAGTCATGTTACTGCAGAAACCATGGAAAGCAGTAGGAAAAAAAGAAGACCTTAGTACAGATGAATTCATTCAATCAAGAAAGCCACAATCCTGGGTTTGTAAGATCTAGATCGGTCTGTTGGGGACTGGAGCTCTTAAAGGTCTTTCACTCATAGGTCTCCCCTAAATCAAAGCTGACTTGATGGTACACAACACCATTGAAATGATAAGTAGAACATTTAACAAGGAATTCCCAGTTTCATTTTAAGGAGGCTCACCCTGCTCCCAGGATTTGAACTGCCAACCTTTCGGTCAGCAAGTTCAGCAGCTCAGTGGCTTAACCTGCTACACTACCGGGAGTGTGTGTGTGTGGGGGGGGGGGGCTGTATTTTAAGAATATTTGTCCCTATTTTAAAAACAATGGTAACAGATTTTTATGGGTGTATTCAAGTTTCTCATGCTGAAATCAGACTTACCCGAGTGATCCCCAACGCACCCACATTTTCACTGTAAGAGGTGGTGCCATTTCCTGTGCCCCAGGCCCCAGCCAGAAGGCAGCCAATCCCTTCCACCCCGATTCCACGGTTGATGGCATGCTTGGGAGGAGGTGGAGCACCAGACAAACGAGCGCAGGCATAGTAATCTCCCACCGATTCCACCATAGAGGAGATCACACCAGCTATGATCCCAAATACTCCAGCCAAGCTAATTGTGGGAACTCCCCATTGACCTGTATGTATAACAAATAGGGGAGAAAAGCAAATACCTGTGTTAAGACTGTGGATCTGAGAGAGGAATCTAAATGTGTTACAGAGCATTGGAGACAACTCCAACATTACCTCCTACATACTTGATTTTGCCTATTATGAGCTTCAACAAGAAGGTTCACAGAATGGTTAAAAGGTAAACTTGGCAGCTAATTTAGAAGTGCTTTACAGATTTCAGCAACTACAAGGAGGCCACCTTAATAGCTTCATAGTTCAGCTGTTAGCAGATGCACTGGGTTGCTGTGAGTTTTCCGTGCAGTATGGCCATGTTCCAGAAGCATTCTCTCCTGATGTTTCAGCCACATCTATGGAAGGCATCCTCAGAGGTTGAGTGATCTGTTGGCAACTAGGCAAGCGAGGTTCATATATCTGTGGAATGTCCAGGCTAGAATGTCCAGGGTAGACATTCCACAGATATATAAACCTCACTTGCCTAGTTTCCAACAGACCTCACAACCTCTGAGAATGTCTGCCATAGATGAGGGTGAAACGTCAAGAGAGGATGGGTTGTTGTAGGTTTTTCCAGGCTATATGGCCATGTTCTAGAGGCATTTTCTCCTGACGTTTCGCCTGCATCTATGGCAAGCATCCTCAGAGGTAGTGAGGTCTGTTGGAAGTAGGAAAATGGGTTTATATATCTGTGGAATGACCAGGGTGGGACAAAGGACTTTTGTCTGCTGGAGCTAGGTGTGAATGTTTCAACTGACCACCTTGATTAGCATTTAATGGCTTGGAAGTGCCTGGGGGGAATATTTTGTTGAGAGTGATTTGATGTGCCTGATTGTTAACGCTCTGTTGTTTTGCTGTTGTAATTTTTGAGTTTTTTAATACTGGTAGCCAGATTTTGTTCATTTTCATGGTTTCCTCCTTTCTGTTGAAATTGTCCACATGCTTATGGATTTTAATGGCTTCTCTGTGTAGTCTGACATGGTGGTTGTGAGAGTGGTCCAGCATTTCTGTGTTCTCAAGGAGAGGATGCTTCTGGAACATAGCCATACAGCCCAGAAAACTCACAGCAACTCAGTGATTCTAGACATGAAAGCGTTCGATAACACATTCCAGAACACTTTGAGGAATTTGTTATTTTTTAAAATACATTAAAATGGCTCCAGTGGAAAGTTGTTTTCAGATGGTAAGACATATGTTTCTATAGTTCATTACATGAATCAATGAAGAGTATAAGAGGTGCCCTGCAAAATGACAAGTCATATATATATGTATATGTAATATATATATATACACACACATACTCCTTTCACAACTTTACATAGACAGTCATCAGGGTTATTAACAATGAAAGCCTTTTAAAAAGCAAGTTAAGTTTTAAATTCCCAGGTGAAGGGTATCAACTATCAAGCAATTCACCAATACTAACATGATAGAAAACACCACTGACATTATAGTGTTGTTGTACCTGGGTAAGGAAACCGAAACCAAGGTGCCCTGGACAGGACATCGCCTTTGCTGTCAGTACGAGCAGAAAAGCCATATGCAGTAGAGTCCGAAGGAAAGGCATTGGAGACAGTCAGGATTAGACACAGAATCCAGGTAAGTATAAGGCCAAAGAGTACCTAGTCGGTTATGGAAGACAAGGAAAATTTGTTAGCAGCTAGATTCACATCTCTAGGTAAACCATTCTTTTGTATAATCTAGGGGTCCATAAACTTTTTAAACAGAGGGTCAGGACATAGTCCCTCAAACTGTTGGAGGGCCGGATTATAATTTGAAAAACACATGAATGAATTCCTATGCACACTGCACATGTCTTATTTGTAGTGCAAAAAAACACTTAAAACAATACAATAATTAAAATGAAGAACAATTTTAACAAATATAAACTTATTTGTATTTCAATGGGAAGTGTGGCCCTGCTTTTGGCTGATGAGATAGAATTGTTGTTGTTGTGTGCTTTCAGACTTAGGTTGACCCTGAGCAAGGGCGGGGTAAATGACCTTGGAGGGCCGTATCGGGGCCCCGAGCCTTAGTTTGAGGACCCCTGGTATAATCCAACAAGGCAACCATCATATCAATAAGGTGCACTAAATATATTGTTGGGCAGGAGAGGGGGAGTGTGTTGGCTTTCCATAGGTGTTGGATGGGTGTCATAGTGTCATAGGTATACCCCATAGAAAAGTTGGGTAATATTTTGCATTGTCAATATAACTACAATCATGATGTTCCAGTGTCATCATAACATCTGAAAGTTACTCCCATCCCTATAAGAAATATCCCCCATGTTTGCAACCTCTCAGTGCCCTGACCAAAGTGTTTTTGAAGTATTACAGATCAGGTTGCTTCAAATGACATCTTCCTGGTCACAGTGTGGTGGAGGCTCCTTCTTCGGAAGCTTTTAAACAGAGGCTGGATGGCCATCTGTCAGGGGTGATTTAAATGCAATATTCCTGCTTCTTGGCAGGGGGTTGGACTGGATGGCCCATGAGGTCTCTTCCAACTCTTTGATTCTATGATTCTACAGGGTGTATCCAGAATAGGCAACTGGTGTGACCCCTCTGAGTCTGCTACAATCATATCTCTCAATGCACCCTAAACTTGCAGTCCTTAGTAACTCTTGGATTGTGATGCTGTCACAGCCTCTGTTTTGACTATTATATAAACAAGAAACATACCATCTGGGGTTAACCTTGATTGGGTCAAAAGGGTGAGGCTTGAATACAATTCTTATATTTATGATGCACCTGCACTACACAGTTATAATACTTTGATACAACTTCAACTGCCATAGCAGCATCCTTTGGGATCTTGGAATTGTAGTTTTGTGAGACACTCAGCATTCTCAGCAAGAATGCTTCAGTAGGCAGCACTGGAGAATTCAAAAATACAACATCAGAATACAAATCCCAGGATTCCAGAAGAAGTAACTGTGGAATGGAACTGCTGCACATGTACAATGTGGATGCATCATTCTGTCTTGACACAGTATGTTTAATCAAATTAAGCAAAACAAAATACACCAAATTCTGCAGTCTAACACAACATTACATTGCCTCCAACAAATTAATTAATATTTGTTGTGGGACTGATTAAAATTAAGTTTCATTTGGTCTTAGGATTTGCCTACAATGGCCCAAAACTTTGTAGGTAAAGGTTTTCCCCTGACATTAAGTCTCATCGTACCCGACTCTGAGGGGTGGTGCTCATCTCCATTTCTAAGCCAAGTAGCCAATGTTGTCTGTAGACATCTCCAAGGTCATGTGGCTGGTATGATTGCATGGAGTACCATTACCTCCCCACAGAAATGGTACCTATTGTTCTACTCACATTTGCATGTTTTCAAACTGCTAGGTTGGCAGAAGCTGGGCCTAACAGCGGGAATCCTGCTTCCCGGATTCAAATGATCAGCTTTTGGTCAGCAAGTTCAGCAATGGGTTTAACCCATTGTGCCACCAGGGGGTCCAAGGACAATGACACCAGGTCTAATTCAGCCCAATATGGTCACACAGGTTACCCTGTTCTGACATTAGCAAAGGTCTCTGGTGCTTGAATGAACCATCTGGTATAGGCAGAGATATGGAGGAGGTGAGCACCTTGCAGGGCAGATGCCGTTCCAGGCCATCTGAATAGTAGCCTCTGATTCAGGTAACCTACCTAGTGGAGGCATACCTCTAGTCTAGTCCACCTGCTACGGTCTCTTTGATTATTCACACCAACTCCAAAGAAAGCAACTTACTGGGAAGATCTGGAAGAGGTAGATCTTGGAGCAATGGAATTTCTTTCTTTTATTGTAAGAAGGCATTGGAACAGGCACATTTTTCAAATACTGAGAGAACAGAACTATGAGGAAAATAGCTCTAAAGTGGCAAAGAGAGAGAGAGAGAAAGAAAAAGCACAATGTTTTAGGTCGACTTGGATAACCTGATTCACAAGTGAACACTTACATAAGGACTAATGCTAATATCGAGGCCAGCTTGGCTACTTGGCTACTTGCATTGTACAGTTGTTCAGAAATCAGAGCACAATGTCCTCATTAAACCTACTTTGCCACATTATTGTAAAAAATCCAGGTTATTCAATGAGGCTCTAATTATCCCAAATTCCCTCGAAAACCTCAAACTCTCGCATACCTCATTAGAAGTTGTAATTATATGCACCTATTTGATATCACTGGATTGTTGTATTTCTGAAAACATTTCCTGTAAGATAAAATCTTTTGAACAATTACCTGAAACCAAGTCCCACAAAATGCAATACAATTAGCTTTTTTTCCCCATGGTAGAAATGCAAATGAATGGACTGTGCGTTGAGCTTCTGATGTTGTATGTGTTCTGTGTGGACATTTCATGATTATTGTGATATTTGGTTGTGTTGACTGTTTTCAGTCTTGTGACCCTCTCTTGTTCGTCTTGTGACAGAAAAGCAGGATAAAAACAAACAACAAGTGTGCTTTGTCTCACACAGTTGTTTTAATTCATTGTTTGGCAATTGATGAAAAAGCCAATTTTTAAAACTCCGGGAGGTGGAGAAAAGAAATTTAACATATCTAATGCCTTGAAGAATTTATTAAAATATAGGCATTTTTTTGTGTCAGGAGCGACTTGAGGAACTGCAAGTTGCTTCTGGCGTGAGAGAATTGGCCGTCTGCAAGGACATTGCCCCAGGGGATGCCCGGATGTTTTACTATCCTGTGGGAGGCTTCTCTCATGTCGTCGCATGGGAAGCTGGAGCTGGCAGATAGGAGCTCACCTTGCTTCCCAGATTCGAACTGCTGACCTTTCAGGCAGCAGTCTTGCCGGCACAAGGGTTTAACTCATTGTGCCATTGGGGGCTCCTAAAAAAACTAAACAAGACACAAACACTCTGGTACCGTGTCCACCACTTATATTTGCTTAACTTTTAGCCAAATCAAAATTTTTGCATTATGCTGGGAGTGTTTTTAATCATTTTACTTATTTCATATTTGCCAAAAAGCTGTCTTTTTTAAAAAAAAAACGTAGACACTTGTGTGCCTTCAAGTCATGGTGACCCTAAGGCATCCCTATGTTAGGGTTTTCTTAGCAAGATTTATTTAGAGGGAATTCGCCTTCCTCTGAGGTTGAGAGAGTGCAGCTTGTCCCGGGTCATTCAGTTGGTTTCCGTGGCTGAGCAGATATTCAGTCCTTGGTCTCATGAGCTGTACCTCCCAATCACACTGCATATTACATCAATGTGACACACTTTGACTGCTATTGCTCCATCCTATGGAATCTTAGGATTTGTATTTTGTTGTAGCACCAGACCTCTCTGGCAGAGATGAATAAATACCTTTCAAAACTACAAATTCCAGAATTCCATAGTTTGCATATGTACAAGCTCTTGTTCTGCCCTACTAGTCTCAAGTCTCAAATCTGCACATGCTATTTTTTGTTGTGTGGTTTATGTTTTATGATGTTTTATATTTTATTGTTTTCAATATAGCCGACTGTGATATGTTTTTAATTGTATTATTTTGTAACCTTTGTTTATATTGGGGTTGGTCCCCGTGTAAGGCGCCCCGAGATGGAGGCAAGTTGTAAGAAAGTAGTAGTAGTAGTAGTAGTAGTAGTTGTTGTTGTTGTTATTGTTGTTATTATTATTAAGCCATAACAGGTGATGTGGTGTCAAACTGTTGAGATTTGGCAGCCTGGGTTGCGCCATAGATTCAGTACTCAAACCACTACATCACATCAACTGGCATGTGATGTAGTGGTTTGAACGGTGCAATGGTTAAGCCCTTGTGCTGCTGAACTCTGACCCCAAAGTTGGCAGTTTGATCTGTGAGACAGAGTGAGTTCCCGTCTGTTAGCTCCAGTTCCTGCCAACCTAACAGTTTGTGGGTTGATAAATAGGTACCACTTCGATGGGAAAAGGCAGAGATATTCCAAGCAATCTTGCTGGCCACACAATCAGGAGATGGCAACGCAGGCTCCTTGGCTTGAAAATGGAGGAAAGAACCTCCCCAGAGCCAGAAATGAGTACAGCCTTCAGAAGCTGGAAATGAAAGGAGAAGCCTCTGCCTTTGTGTTTCCGTATCTCATTGTATATGATTGTAAAGGCATTGAGTGTTTGCCTACGTATGTAAATGCTGTAATCCGCTCTGAATTCCCCCTAGGGAGAAGGGCAGAATATAAATAAAGTGTATTATTATTATTTGAAACACAACAAGGTGAGTCCACAGCAGACACTCTGCTGGCTGTTGTAATGGATCACACGTCGGACACTTCCCAAGTGTCTAGGACTGTGTGATGTATCGGCGAATAATGGGTGCAGATCCCAGTAAGGTTGCCTTCTGCAGCTGGCAGATGGTAATTTTGTCAGCGGCGATTCTGTTTAAGTGCAGGCCAAGGTCTTTAGGCACTGCACTCAGTGTGCCGATCATCACTGGGACCACCTTGACTGGCTTGTGCCAGAGTCTTTGTAGTTTGATCTTCAAATCCTCATATCATGTCAGCTTTTCCAGTTGTTTCTCTTCAATCCTGCTGTCACCTGGGATTGCAACATCGACAATCCATACTTTGTTTTTTAACATGATAGTGAGGTCAGGAGTATTGTGTATTATTATTATTTGTTGTTATTATTATTATTATATCTACTAATTATTCATTATCCAGTTTACATTTTATGTGGTTGATTTTACATTCAGCAGTGTTTATGAATATTCTTAATCAAATAATATTTATCACAGCATACATTTTACTTCAAGGCACCACACCTGAAAATTATACAAGCACCACCAAGAGGTGAAGGGCTACAGATCCTTGTGAATTGAGACATTACATCCTTATCAATATAAGGAGGGTAAACTTACACGGCTGCGATGCCCCAATGCTCACCTGCCTCTCTTCCTGCTGATTCAAAGAGAGGCAGGGCCACCAAGGAGATAGTCGGAGCAATGGTCAATGGGCCAATGAAGCGCATCAAAAATCCAAGGAGGCCAGAGAAGCCGACGAAAATTTGGAAACAAGAGGCAATCATTATTGCTCCCTGCACCTGAAACAACAAGTATAGAAAAAGTGAGCATTCCAGTGGGTTTTAATCTAAATCCCTTGACACCACTTGAATTTCCATGGCTCAGTAAAATCATGAGAGTTGGAATTTTATCAGGTTCTTAGCCCTCTCTCCTAAAGCGTGCTCGTGCCTCACCAAACTACAAATCCCAAGATTCTATAGCATTAAGCTATGGCTGTTAAAGCAGTGTCAAAGTATATTAATTCTACAGTATAGATCAGGCATGGGCAAACTTTGGCCCTCCAGGTGTTTTGGACTTCCGGCTGTTAGGAAATGTGGGAGTTGAAGTCCAAAACACCTGGAGGGCCAAAGTTTGCCCATGCCCAATGTAGATGCACCTTAAGTTGCAAGTAGAGAATATAACTCATAAGTAACCAATGTAAAGAAGAGAGTTAATATAATTACAGTGTACTTAAAAGGATCAAAGCTTATCCTGTTTTTAGGGAGACTGGCTAATTTCCCACAGTGCCTTGTTTTCTGCAAGCGGATACAGAAAATACTCAAAAGGGGATATTGCTTTAAGTTCAGTTTTTACTTTTTTATTTTAATATGATTTTAACTGACTTGTTTTAATAATTCTATGCTTAATTCTATTTTAATATTTATGTTGTGTAGGTTTTAATGTTCTGAGGTGCTTTTGGTCTCAATCCAGAGAGAAAAGCAGGGTACAAATCATCACCATCATCATCATCATCACCATAGCAGCAGAAGTGCCAGGTCTGTATCACATATGTAGTCAAGCTGGGTAAATGTAACTTTTATGTTCTCAACAGGGACAAATGCAAGATACTCTGCTTAGTCAGTAAAAATGAAATGCAAAGATACAGGATGGGGGACGCATGGCTCGAGAGCAGTATTTGTGAAAAAGATCTTGGAGTCTCCATGGTCAATAAGTTAAACATGAGCCAACAATGTGATGCGGCAGCTAAAAAAGCCAATGGGATTTTGGCTTGCATAAATAGGAGTCAAGTGTGTACATCTAGGGAAGTCATGCGACCACTCTATTCTGCCTTGGTCAGACGACACCTGGAATCACACTGTGTCCGATTCTGGGCATTGCGATTGATGAGAGAGTTGTTGACAAGCTGGAATGTGTCCAGAGGGATCAAGGGTCTGGAGAACAAGACTTATGAGGAGTGGCTTAAAGAGCTGGGCATGTTTAGCCTGCATAGGAGAAGGCAGAGAAGGAGACATGATGAGGGCCATGTATAAATATGCGAGGGGAACTCATAGGGAGGATGGAGCAAGCTTGTTTCCTGCTGCCCTGGAGACTAGGACACGGAACAATGGCTTTAAACTACAGGAAAGGAGATTCCACCTGAACATGAGGAAGAACTTCCTGACTGTGAGAGCTGTTCAGCAGTGGAACATTCTGCCCCGGAGTGTGGTAGAGGCTCCTTCTTTGGAGGCTTTTAAACAGAGGCTGGATGGCCATCTGTCAGGGGTGCTTTGAATGCAATTTTCCTGCTTCTTGGCAGGGGGTTGGACTGGATGGCCCATGAGGTCTCTTCCAACTCTATAATTTTATGATTCTATGGCTAATCAAAGCAAACGTAGTATTATCTTTGCCATATCTTTTGGAAAAGCAAAAGTGACATTTTGAACACATACTGAACACATACTACTGTGGACAGCAGCTCTCACAAACCCCAGGCCAGCAAGGAAGCAATGTGTCTAAGCTTGGGATGTTTGACTGTTAAATTCCAAAAGAAAAGACCTTACTACAAACACACAGTGCATACCTCTCGCATTCGTTTTTGCCAGACGTCAATAAATACTGGAGAAGCTGCATCGACCAGGGTAGCATTTTGGGTCCAAGCAGGGCACTGCCATTGAGGGAGACTGAGCATGGCCAGTGTAGGAGTTACAAAGGCAAATGTTCCTCCTTGTAGGATAGGCAGCCTGTGTTGAGAGCAGAATGGTGAGGAGTAAGAAATTATATGGTTCAACAGTAAGTTTTCTTGAACAAGACAGATCACACATTAACGCAAACATAACAGCAACCTTCATCTTTGAAGTCATTGATCTATCTTTAACACCAAGTAATAGTTAAAACTAGAGTCCTCCAACTGCGTTGACTATAACTGACATCACTCTTCTTCATCCATTTCTAGTGCTGGCTGAACTGCTGAAGGTTGGCAGTTTGAATTGGCAAGACAGGGTGAGCTCCTGTCTGTCAGCTCCAGCTTCCCATGCGGGGACATGAGAGAAGCCTCCCACAGGATGGTAAAACATCCGGGCATGTTCTGGGCAATGTCCTTGCAGACAGCCAATTCTCTCACACCAGAAGCTTCTGACACACACACACACAAATCAATTTCTTATGACCTTACTTAAGGTAATCCAATGGTAACTAACTGAATAAGGAAAGGCTAAAGAGGAGGTGAGAAAAAGAGATTTCACAGTGGCCAAGAATGATATATTATACCAGAAAGAAAACAATGGGCTTCAGAAGATTGAGGGACTCCAACTTTGACAAAAACAAACAAAAATATGTCGTCCAAGAATTTCTGAGAAGACAATGTTACTCCTTATTTTTGCGTGCCCTGCAAAACATTCCTTTGGCTCTTGTTTCTTCCTTCTGAAAAATATTGGCATTAGATTTCATTACCTTCCCAACGCAAACACTGAAGACCAAGCACGCACAGGAGAAAAGTGTATGTGTGTGTGTGTGTGGGGGGGGGGGGGGGGGGGGGGGGGGGTAGTTATGCAGCTCATTTTATGCAGCTCATTTTATTATATGTGTGTTCATTATATATGTGTTCATTTTTTTCACACATACATGTGCTGGAAAATAGACCTGAAAATAACCATGATTGAATTTATATTTCCAGGCTCTCCGTATGCCATATAAATTCTGTAGGTGGCAAAAAACTTTAAAGAACTATGTTGTTGAAGGCTTTCATGGCCAGAATCACTGGGTTGCTGTGAGTTTCCCGAGCTGTATGGTTATATTCCAGAAGCATTCTCTCCTGATGTTTCGCCCACATGTATGGCAGGCATCCTCAGAGGTTGTAAGGTCTGTTGGGAACTAGGTAATTGGGGTTTATATATCTGTGAAAGGTCCATGGTGGGAGAAAGAACTCTTGTCTGTTTGAGGCAAATGTGAATGTTGCAATTGGCCACCTTGATTAGCATCGAATGTCCTTGCAGCTTCAAAGCCTGGCTACTTCCTGCCTGGGTGATCCTTTGTTGGGAAGTGTTAGCTGGCCCTGATTGTTTCTCTCAAATTCCCCTGCATTTTAAGGGTTGTTCTTTATTTACTGTCCTGATTTTAGAGTTTTTTAAATACTGGTAGCCAGATACTGTTCATTTTCATTGTTTCCTCCTTTTCGTTTGCTTCTGGAACATGACCATACAGCCTGGAAAATTCCCAGTGCCCCCTGTGCCGGCAGGACTGAAGACCGGCAGGTCACAGGTTCGAATCCGGGAAGAGGCGGATGAGCTCCCTCTATCAGCTCCAGCTCCTCATGCGGAGACATGAGAGAAGCCTCCCACAAGGATGATAAAAAACATCAATTCATCTGGGCGTCCCCTGAGCAACGTCCTTGCAGATGGCCAATTCTCTCACACCAGAAGCGACTTGCAGTTTCTCAAGTCACTCCTGACGCGACAAAAAAAAAAAAAAGCCCGGAAAACTCACAGCAACCCACTTTACAGCACTCTTCCCACACCTGCTGTCTGCCACTAATTTTGGTCTATGATTCCCAGACATAAAAATTGCCTTAATACTCTACTGAAATAATCCATATTAAGGTGAAAGGAAAACAGAGGTAACTATTTAGCAAATATGTTTCTTCATTTCTGGATGTCTTTTTAAAAAGACATCACAAAAATCAAAGCATCTTAGAACTGAAAAGGACTGCAAGGGTCATTCAGGAATACAATACTAATTTCAGTTCACCTTCACAAGATAAATACACATACAGACCTTCTCACAAGATCAGTACCACAATAAACCTTGGCAACACATATAAACAAATGTTTTTGCACTGGATGCACTCCAGAGAAGGCGTTGTCATTTTGTAAACTTGGTACTCACAGATTTATTAGAAACAGTAAGAGCCACATTTTTGCCCTAGGCATTTATTCACATCTATTAGCATCTTCCACAAATCAATCTTTACATCATAAAAGTGCTTTGGGTGTGGAGGAAAATATCTGTCTCTCATTTTTCATTGCACTGAAATATAGTGCTGTTTTGTTCAGCTGACACACATCAGCAGACTAAAACAATACTAGCCAAAGGAACCGTTTCCCCTGCCCTTTGTGTTGTAGGGGTGTGAGTTATGCCTTTCACAATTTGACAAGAAAGAACCAGTGTGAACAGGATGTGAAATAAAAATTAACCCATAAAACAGTGGTTCCCAACCTTTGGTCCTCCAGGTATTTTGGACTTCAACTCCCAGAAATCTCAGTCAGCTTTCCAGCTCTTAGGAATGGTGGAAGTCCTAAACAGATGGAGGACCAAAGCTTGGGAACCAATGCCATAAAGCAACTATACAAAGGAATGGCTTGCTTCAAGTAACATTTTTTACCAATAGAGTTGTCCAGACAGAAAACTGGAGAGGAGCAGGGATATAACAGTGTTAAGCAAGAATTTTAGCAGACTGCTTGTCATGCCACCAGGTAACAAGTCAAGCAACACCTGCTAAAATCCCCTCTTATTCACCATAATCAAAGGCATATGAGCCCTCTCCAGTTTGTTCTCTGCCAACCCTATTTACCAGTCTTGCCCATGTTGCTTAGCATTTCTGAATCCTAATTCTAAATTTTCCTCTCTGTTGACATTTTATTAGCTCATCTACTTTTCCATTGTCTAGACTAATTAGAACTGCCAATGAAAAAATTCTTTAGGACCTCACAACCTCTGAGGATGCCTGCCATAGATGCAAGCGAAATGTCAGGACAGAATAATTCTAGAACAGTGTTTCTCAACCTGGGGGTCAGGACCCCGGAGGTGGGGGTGGGGTTCACAAGAGAGTGTCACAGGAGTCGCCAAAGACCATCAGAAAACACAGTATTTTCTTTTGGTCATGGGGGTTCTGTGTGGGAAGTTTGGCCCAATTCTATCATCGGTGGGGTTCTGAATGCTCTGATTGCAAGTGAACTATAAATCCTAGCAACGAGAACGCCCAAATGTCAAGGTCTATTTTCCCCAAACTCCACCAATGTTCACATTTCAGCATATTGAGTATTCATGCCAAGTTTGGTCCAGATCCATCATTGTTTGAGTCCACAGTGCTCTCTGGATGTAGGTGAACTACAACTCCAAAACTCAAGGTCAATGCTCACCAAACCCTTCCAGTATTTTCTGTTGGCCAAGAAGTTCTGTGTGCCAAGTTTGGTTCAATTCCATCATTGGTGGAGTTCAGAATGCTCAAAACACCACAAATCTTGCATTGAGTGAGTTCTGCGATATTTTCTAACCTGGCAGAAATATTCTAATGTACTAGATGTCAACTTTACATGTCTTATATTTTATGATACCCTTGAGAATTGCAAACCCACTGACCAATGAACATTTTTTTCATCCCATAACCTTGGCCAACGGGGAGAAAGTATCTCCTGCAGAAATGCGATACATTTGTTGAGTCCCTTTTTTGGTCTTTCCCCCTCAACTATACATGGAAACTGAGGGCCCTTCCATAACCCAGAACATCAAAGCAGAAAATCCTAAAATATCAGCTTAGAACTGGGTTATCTGAGTCCACACTGCCATATATTCCAGTTCAAAACAGATAATGTGGGATTTTATTCAGCTGTGTGGAAGAAGCCTGACTGAATCTAGGGGATATTGTCCTCAGATCTCACTCCATATGAATTCTGAAACAATATATTATTCTGAATAAACTGCCCATCTGAGTGTATGAGGATAAAAATAAAGAATTTCTCAGAAATAAGTGGTACTCAGGACCTCATCCCACAAAGGAGGGGAGAAGTCAGGGGAGCCGCTTTCTAAGGCCCCTTCCACACAGCTGTATAAAATCCGTATTGAACTGGATTATATGGTAGTGTGGACTCTTATGAATGAATGAATGGTTTATTGTGTCAGCCGTAGGCCATGACATCCAATAATATACAACCTTTAAAAGTACAATAAGCACTTTCCATATAAATGTTAAACCTTTTTCCATATATAGGCTCTTTAAAATTATAGTAGGAATGGTATGATAACAATAATAAATGTCTAATTTGTATTATTCCAAACTATCTTCATTTCCATTTCTAGGTTCCGCTGTGGACTTTACTAATTTAGCTCAGAGTTTTTGGGTTGTGACTGCAAATGTGACAACCTTTAATGTTATATTTTTGGAATAATCCACTAACAAGCTATAGATAGCTGCTGACCGTTACCATGCTGCCCTTTCTTCCAAAAGGGCTCCCAGAAGACTGTTTCTAAGGTGGTTATACAAAGGACAATATAACAGAGAGTGTATTAATTCCTCTCTTTCCCTGGGATGAGAGAGCGATCCGGCTGCAATATCTGTCATCCCATTGATCGCTAGGGTTGATTCGGCAGTGTGGACTCAGATAACCAAGTTCAAAGCAGATATTTGTGGATTATCTGCCTTGATATTCTGGGTTATATGGCTGTGTGGAAGGGCCCCGAGCGGGGATATAACAGTGTTATTCAGTTCTATATAAATGTGCTTTAATGGTGGATTACTGCACTGTCAGCCTATGCCTTCGAAGTCTATGACTCTATGAACTTGGAACAGCCTTCTGCCAATCCCTTTCAAAAGACTGCAGTCTCTCCTGCACAATTGCCTTGATATCCCCAAAATGCAGGTACATTCCACCCATCTAAAGCTGAGCATATCTGAGGCGATTAAGCTGAGAAGTTCTGGGCTGCAGTTCAGGAGCCCACATCAGAATCAAAAGGGTCATTGTAGAGTCGA